GATCAGCATTGATATACGTCACAAGCTTTATCTGTACTTCAGAAACTAGTTATTATACTATACTATTATATTATACCCCCCCCCAAAAAAAAAAAAAAACGCAAGGCACCTCTTTAGGGGGAAATAATTATGTAAAGTACTAAGTTTTGAATCTTAAAATTATGGATATCTTCAATTTGGTAAATATCGGTAATTTAACGGTTGAACGATTTTCATACCGTAACCAAAAGTCAAGTCTGCTTAACAGGAAATCAAAAGTTGCATGTTTAACAAAAAATTTGGCAATATCATGGAGTTTTAAGGGTTTTCTTCTGTTCATCTTAAGTAGTGCAGCAATATTTCAAAAAATAAAATCTCCTTTCGTTTCCCGTAACGATGCTAAGTCTTCTTGAAAATGACTTAAGTACGCATTTCCATTAGAAGCACTCCTGTTAAAATGTCAAGTCTAAAGCTCTGTATGTCAGATCTCTTGTTTACTGTTGAGGTAGCTGTTAACGAAACAATCAGATCATTTTTAGTGTGAAGAAGATTGTGATTAAATAAGGAAGATATTTGATTTGACCTCGATCAGTATTGAAAATAAGTCACAAGCCTTGTCAGGATTTCAGAAACTAGTTATAGTGACTCTGAGTAGTACAAGTACTCCTGTTAAAATGTCAAGTCTAAAGCTCTGTATGTCAGATCTCTTGTTGAGGTAGCTGGTATTCCAAACAATAACGAAACAATTTTTTCTTCCTTTGTGAGAAAAAAAATCTCCCTTTAAGAGGTAAATATAATTATATTAATGTACACGGTGTTGGGGTCAACTTCAGTAGCGTTAAAATGACGCTATATAAAACGACGTTAGAAATCTAATTGACGTTACTTTTTGACTAACATTTCCACATTAGTTTACATATAATCATTTTAAATACATGTAAAGGACACCCGTCATATTTCTATTGGAAAGAACTTAATAAAGATTATGAATTTTTAATGAACTGGAATCACTATACCAGTAGTTTTCTCAGATTTGGAACATTTCTTTGAGCTGCATTCAAAGCTTCCTAAACTATTATGTAAACTGAAAAAAATATGCGGTTATTATTTTTGCTTATGAGAAAAAGACATCTATCCGGTCATTAGACAATGTAGAGCAAAAGTTTTCGGATTGCGCTGTGAAAAATCATTTAAAAACAAAAAAAAAACCAAAAAAAAAAAAAACCCGGATACGGTCAAACATTATCAAAAACACTTAAACCACAAAAAATAAATGCCTGGTACTTCAACATATCTGTTGAATTCAAGATATTGGTGTACGAGATATCAAAATTCTACTGTATTCTATAAGGTACATTTTGAGAATTTTATATATGACGCGGATTAAAACTTACTTTACAAGTACAGTCATAATTTGTCGTCATTCATTTGATGTCGTCATCGCTGACATCATCGAATCAATAATTTTAAGGATTATATATATGAGGAGGATCCAAACTTACTTCACAACTGCAGCCATACTTTGTCGCCATTCGTTTGATGTGGTCATCGCTAACGCCATCCATGGGTTTGTAGTTTTCAATTTTTACACGGCCATCTCTTTCTTTGGCTAAAAGAAACAGTCAAAATGGTATTAGATATATATAAAGTGATCAGGTTTTAAACAATACAATACTTTCTCTATTTATTAGTATGGAAGTTAATATCACGGTTGTTAAAGAAAAACAATACCTGGCCCGCGAAAGCCGGTTATGTAATTTGTATGACAATAGAATGATATTGATGAAGTAAGCGTTACAAGATTATACAATTTAATTTTAGTTGTAACACGTCATTCGATGGAATAAAACATTAAGTTATATCTTATACCGTAAACGTATTACATTTGATTTTGTATTCTTGTTAGCGGCTTTGGTTGAACGCTGCAACCGCTGAATCGAGCACAACGCTAAATGGCTTGCACATACATGTATACACATAAATAAGAAAATGATGCGCTAAATGAAATCTAAGCAATTCAAAAATCAAATTTCCGACAAATATCGTACACGCTAAATAAGATACATTTACAGTAACATTGCCTACGTCACAATGAGGTACATCAAAAACGTTTTACTCCAGTTGAGGTTACATTTAAAATGCGAGGGACATTCAATAAATATTGTCATTGGGGCTCGGAAAGAAACAAAAAACGTTTTTCTACGACTTTGTCTTAATGATTTTAGTAAAATATTCTCTTTCAATTAAAACGCATATATCCGTGATATTTTCATTCAATTTCTAATTGTTTTTCGAACACATTTTTGAGTATGACCCTTCGCATACTGGAATATGGCAGATCCTTTGATTTGCTGTATTTGTTTTTTTCTCTCTGATAGATGTTTTTCTAAGTTTAGGAAATGAAACAAGTCAAAGGTGGAAAGATCTGGCAAATTTTGCTGGTGTGACAAAACATTAACTTTCTGTTTATCCCCCAAAATCCTTTACTCTTCATGGCCTGTGGGTTTGGACGCCGTCATGAAGACATTTAATGTAGTGAATTCCTCATTCTGTTTCCTTCCTCTCATAAACCTTTCAATTTTGTTGCAAAAAAATTGTTTTCTAGACTCCTCCAGAAATTGAACTTCCTCCCCGAATATGAATTTGAACAACAAGACCGCTAATATTTAAGAAAATAGCATATAAAACTGTTTTATGCTATTGCAATTCTTTGTTCTTCTTAGGCCTTTGCAATTTTGTCCAGTGCATCTTATTGTAATTTTGTTTTGAGGGCTTAAAGCAAAATGGATTCAAGTTTCATTGTCTGTTAGAATTTCATACAAACGTGGATAAGTACAATTTCTGATTTTTCAAAATAATTGTTTGGATATTCCTACATGCTGTCGTTTTCACTCATTTTTCAAAATAAAGGGTGACCTTTGAGTATTAAACTTTTTTACTATAAGATGTTTCTTTAAAACAGTATGAACTATCCCCAAAATGATTTTTATCAATATTGCTATGTGTCCTAAAGTTAATAAAAGATGATCATTGATAATTTGTTGAAATTTCGCAAATTTACATCGGTTGTTGTAAGACATTGTTGCCAAGGACGGTACCCATTTTTGATGCCCATTATATAATTTTTTTTATTGAAGTCTACATATTCACTTGTCTATAAAACAGACATTGGTTGCTGTAAATTTCACATATTCCAGTTAATATATATTTGGGATATTAACAAGTTTTACAGCTGCTTTAATGAAGCGTTTAATTTGACTCTAGTTTACTGATTCTTGACCATTCATTTTTAATGCAGTGTCTCGAATAGCCCTTGTTTTCCAGCTACCCACGATGAAATAATGTGATGAAAAGTGGTCACACAAACTGTTATCAATTCATTAAAGATTCAATAATGAGAAAAAGTCCAGCTTTATGTCATATAACTACTATGCTGTATGTCATCGAGCTAATGACATTATTTATTGAACGTCCCTCGTATGCGCAATTTGAAGCTATGTTTGGTAGGAAAAATTGCAAGTCTAATTGTGTACACTGAATTAAATTAAAAGTAATGAAGCTTGTTTTAACCAGTGTGATACTTAACAGTGTACAAAGCGAAAATATTTCCATGTTATGTAATCTCGTGTGACATAGGTTTAAGATATATCGTATTTAACATTTAGATTAAAATACGCTTCATTCCTTGAGTAACATTATGACATAACATTTTTCTTTAAATGTTGAAATAAAAACTGATTCATGAGAACTTAATTCACCGTAAATGAGGTAGATGGTGGTGACATTTAATATCTGGGGTCCACAAGAGAAAAAATGGACCTTCACCGTAGATTGTGTCCGTGGGTAATTTCTCCTTTATATCCCGCTGTTTTTAGGTAACAAAAATGAAGTTATATTTTTACTCTAGGTAGTTCAAAAGAGAGACTAGATATGAGAAATGGAACACAATTCAAGGCGGCCAACCACGTGCAAGTGTCATTGTCACACCACGTGATCTTGTATGTTAATATTGCCTCGGAATATCTTGCGTATGCAGATCTAGAACCCCCCACTCACAAGCAGGTAATTAAGGAGTTATTAAATATGCGTAGTACAGTTTGGACCCCGTAGAACACATGCTCCTTGCTTAGAAAGAAAGTCAAAAAGTATAAAGAAAAAAATTTGCTTTTTATCTGTGCTTGACAAATATATCACTTTTTAACAAGGATGGAACCCACCCACCCCGATTTGAGCTTAACATAAAGATCCTTGATCCACGCCTGCCATGTTGCAACAAGGTATTTTTCAGCAGCGTGTGACCAAATTTATTACAAAAAGTGCAGGGATTAAAAAACTTATCAGCAGTCTCGTTTAAAGTCATCATTTCGTAAGTTTTATGGTCGATACAATGACCTTGTCAGCAAATACAATTTATCATTGAGTCAAATACTGACTGACGGTTTTCATACCAATTGTTAGTCCCTTATTTATACACTGAATTGACGACGGATTTTTCCGTTATTTCACGATCATGACAAGGAGCAAACGGCGGGTGTGACCGGTCAGCAGGGGATGCTCACTTCTCCATGGCACTTGATCCCACCTCTGATGTTTCGGAGGTCCGTGTTTGCTCTGCTTCTATTTTGTATTGTTTTATGGACTTTGATATTGAATACTGTTCGTTATCTCCATATCCTCCTTTAATGCAAAACTAAACTTTTACAAAGAAACGAACAAGAAATGGATTTTTTTTGTATGCATATCAATAAAACAAAAAATCCGTTAAAATCACTACATACAAATGATATTTAGTATACGTCGTACATGTTCAGTTAGCTCAAAATTTGTTTTCTTAACTCAAGTTTATTATATATCCATGTTTATAAAAAAGGAGATAAAACAGCTGCTTGAATTAGATTGATTGTATCACAAAATTACGAAATCAAGGAATTAGATATCTTCCGGGCAAAAAACTTATAAAACGTGTTGTTGTAAAAAAGTAAACAATGTATCAAAAATAAGTTAGACCCATAAACCCCTACCTTGTAGACGGTATGGATATATATCTCGTATTTATAATATCCAACAGTGTAATCTTTGCTTTTCACTTCAGCCTCAAATGCTAAGAATAGAAGAAACTAAAATTATACGTGTATAACAAAATGCATGAACTTCATAATCCTTAGCTAACTGAGGAGGCTGAGTTGTCCGTCCGTCTGTCCGCTGTGCCTCTGACATATTTGTCATCCTCTGTCCCATTGAGATTTCCGCGGTTTTTTTTTTTTTTGTTTTTTTTTTTAATAAATGATTGCAGATATTGTCCAAAGTTAGAACAACTATGTATAAAATATATTATAACATGGTACCCGAGTATCTGAGAGAAATATTTCCAAATATTCGATCACAAGAATCAAATTACGTAACAAGACAGTCACAAAATTATTGCATCCCGAAGTGTAGATTAAATATATATATATATCATCATTTGTTCCAATGGCAATAAGGGAGTGGAACTCTTTGTCTCTTGAAACAAGAGAATCTACTACTATAGGTTCCTTCAAAAACTGTGTAAACTCTCATAGAACACCTACCCCGTCCTTTTTTACTTTTAGTGATCGTTACTGGAGTGTAATTCATACTAGATTAAGACACAATTGTGTTCTAAATAAAGACTTATTTAGGTGTAATATTATTAACAGTCCATTATGTACTTGTGGAAAAATAGAAGACGCATATCATTTCTTTTTCTCTTGTGCAAATACGATACTCCATAATGCTATTTTTAGAATGATTAACTTAAGTATTGTAGACACTCATGTTCTGTTATGGGGAGATAATACGATCAGTATTTCTGAAAATGAAAGTTTATTTTTGAATGTGCAATTGTTTATCAAGAGATCTGGTCGTTTTTGAAGTATTTTGATTCGTTTGTACATACTACATAAATTTAAATTCTGTACATGCATTACCTATGTTAAATAATCTTAATGACCTTTGGTTCCAGTGTAAATTAATTTTTGAACAATACTTTGTGTAATTAATTGTTATTAAGAAGAGGACGTTCATTTTTGTGTCCAATCCTTTTGTTATAACATCTTAACAATAAAATATGTTCAAACCATTGCAGATATTGAGCTAATTTTGGTATGTTTTCTGCATTTCTTATCTAAATGCTTGCAGAAATATATTTTGGTATGAGGGCATACCTTGATGAGTTATAGTCTGTCCCGTTTCAATGATTTTTTGACAAAATTCATAAATGCCATTTTCATTTTTTTTTCTGAAAACCAGATTACAATTGCCGGAAGAGGACTGCAATGGCATACATATCAAAAATACGCTATTCCATTCTTAGTAAACATATTTAAAAGATTACTTCGTACAGATATAAATTTGATGAATAAAATATTTTTATTTGTTTATAAGTACGAGAATTAAAGTTATTGCAGAACAAAATTACATTTATAACCCGCTCACGTTGACTTTCGAACTAACAACAAAAAAGCATCATATTCTTTTAATGATAAGCTGTTAATAAATCGGGTTCAATAGAAATCCATCTTGATATCGTTGAGTTTAAAGAATGTAGAAATCGTGCTTGATATCGTTAACTAATTTGAAAGAACTATAAATTGTGACCGATATTACTAGTTTTAAAGAGTATAGAAATCTTTCTTGATGACGTTAGATTTAAGGAATGTAGCGAAATTACTTGACATTGTTAGTTCTAAAGAACTAGAAATTGTGCTCGATATCGCTGATTTTAAAGTGAGTAGAAATCTTTCTTCGTGACGTTAGTTTTAAAAAGTGTAGAAATTTAAAACGTGCTTTGTGGCAACGCACTTTGAAAAAATTACTTTAAGAGTTTACATCACTATATTTTACCATGGAGACACTTAACGCACTTTGAAAAAAAAATCAACTTTTAGTCATGGAAAGATTTTATTTGTTATTTATCTTTCAAAAAACTAACCTTTACCCTTACCTAAAAAAGGAATTGATTTACTCCGGTCGAAAAGAGGAGAAGACAGGTATAAGATCCCTCAGTCCAAATCTTTATCTTTCCAATACATAGGTGTCGGTAACAAACGGGGGAGGGGACCCTGCAGGGTACGCTGCATTTTCAATGCTTTTACGATGTACATGTATATATCTTTCCAAAATAAGTGGGGCTTAGCCCCCCATCCCCTCCCCTGGCCCTTCGCCCAGTCTCGATGTCTATGCTATACTCAAAGCATTCATATAATTATGTATTTACCTAACTGGTATGACGTTGAAAACTTTCAATAATAAATGAGTTAATTAAATCAGATGAAAACTAGAAATTTTTAAGTACAGTAAAACGTATGAGAGAGAAAGAATTTTCATTTTCGTGCCCCCTATACATGTACATCTTTACATCTACTTATCAAAGACTAGAATTTAAAAAAAAAGGGGGGGACGAATTAATGAACTTAAACAATCGTCACTTTTTTTTCAAGACGCTTTAATTTCCCCTTTATTTTATCAAAACCTTAAATACGAGGGCCGTTCAAAAATTACGCGGACTTGTTGCACAGAAGAGATATTTGACGACATAATCGGGCAAAATTTCACAAATAATATAAAAGAATCTTTACTTATATGGTCTTCAAAATTTCATATCAAAATGTTGTAAATTGGTATTAATTTTGAGTGATTTTTCAGGACATACCATTAAGTCACGGCGCAGCAATCTTTGACGTCACAAGCATTATAAAAAAATATGTGATTGAGCTTTCATTTTCTCAACATTTTCCCTTGAGTACCTGTATAGTTTGAGTTACCCTATCTACTCAACATCAAAACACCATTTCTTGTCAAGCTTAAAATCTATTAAACAAGTAAAGAATATTCTTTTTTTTTTTGTTTTAAAACCAAAAACTACTTATGAGATATAGTGTGATATTGGTGACTCTCAATCACGTTCTTTACAGTCCGGATAAAGTTAACTTTTCGTCTATAATCTTCTTCCCGTCCTCCCGTATAGCCTTTTTACAGAGGTCTAACTGTCTAAAATTTCAATTTGCTATTTGTGGGCGAATGTCACGAGTAGCCTAGTTTACTACATGTTTTATTATGCATATTTTGGATCTATGTTGCCGATATCTCGAGCATTACACATATTTTAACAAAAGTGTGGTGCGCCGTCAATTCAGGAGACGTCATTTTCACAGTCGTTTTCACGGGAATCGCATCAGAGAAAAATAACTATATTTCTGTTAGTACTTCAAATATTACGTCCGAAATCTAAATACATAATAATAGAACAATTTAAAGGTACATTTGAGAAAATTGTTGAAAAATATCGCGAATTTTAGAAAATCAATGAGTTAAATTTTTGAATCCGCATGCTTTTGCTTCAATTTCTTTGTCGTGCGCCGTACCTCTCCATCAACGATATAAACATACCGATAATTTTCGTAGAATTTTTTTAAAATACAGAAATTTTGCCAAAAATTTATTGGAATCTTTAAGATACATATTTCTGTGAATTTTTATAACTATATGACGTCTGTAAGAGTAAATAATAGCACAGTCCGCGTAATTTTTGAACGGCCCTCGTATTTAAAACGTCAATATCTCAGGTCCTACAGTGACTTTATCATAAAAAAGTTATCAATCCTGGATCTGTTATTTATCATACCGATTATTTGAAGGAATATTGATCAATCTTTACATTTTTTTCAAAGTGCGTTGATATGGTCAATATTAACGCACTTTGAAAAAAAAAATATTTTTTTCAAAGTGCGTTAGCTTGGTCCCAAATTTTAACGCACTTTGAAAAAATTTTTCAAAGTGCGTAATTTTTCAGAGTGCGTTGTAACAGTGCTTCTTATCAGGAGTTCTAAAAAGTGAAGAAAAAAAAAGTTTTTGATGTCGCTTGTTTTAAATAATGTAGTAATTTGGTTACATATCCTTTAGTTTAATAAAATATAGGAGTTTGGTTTTATATTAGTTGCTATGAATAATGTAGGTTTTATATTGCTAGTTTTAAAGAGTGTATGAATTAGACCTAAAACGAAGAGACTGGTGACTTTTGACGTCACAATCGCGATCTCCTTGTGATTGCAGCGCCCTCACCGGGATGGCTTTTCGTCTATGATGAATCTTAACTATAAGTTTGAATTATGTCATCAATGCGAATAGGGAATAATTTTTTTTTTTTTAAATGAAAATACTTTCAGAGATTTCGATATTTTTTAAATTACAGGTTAACATTATAGTGGAGAGAAAATAATTCCTATAAAAGGAATTAAAAATAAATACCGAAATCTGCATAGCAATAATCTTGCTGATCCGTCTAGGAATGTATGTACATCCACAGGCCAGAGCCACGGGTAGAGAAACCACTATAATTCTACCACCCAGCATCACTGAAAATTTTACCTGGTACTATATCCTGTTTACTGAGAGAGTCACAGGGTTGTGATCCCCTATACAGTTAAGCACCGCCAGCTGATACTTATATTTATGTACTGACCAAATCTAAATGTCATTTGAAAAATGAGAGGTCATTTTTATTTATGCATCATAGTGGTCAGTAATTTCTTTGATTGTTGGCTTCAGGATCATGAAGCTTCTTAAGCTTCCCTAACAAAAATATTATAGGTAGCTATAGTTAACCGATTTAAAAACTTTACTATAGTGAAAACTTCTGAACTTTGATTTACTGAAATGAAAACTTTCGAACTTTGATTTACTAAAATAGTGAGGAAAAAAATGGAACTTTGATTTACCAAAGTGAAAACTTTGAAACTTTGATTTATTATAGTGGAAACTTTGTAACTTTGATTTATTATAGTGGAAACTTTGGAATGAAAAATATGGAACTTTGTTTAACTAGGGTAAAAAAATTTTGGAAGTTATGTAATTGTGGTTTATATTCCCTATATTTATAATATTTATGTAAATGTTGTCTCTTGCACCGATAAATAAGCAAAATTTATTTAAATCAAATTAATTCCAAGTTGTAATGTTTGTTTCATTTATCTAGTGAAAAAAATTGCTATACAATAACATTTGCGTCATTTAAAAGAAAAAATCTACTTCATCAACTTCAGTTAACATGTTTGTTTTTTTTTCATTTTATGTATGTTTATATTGCATTTGAATTAACTACACGTACTATGCATTTTTAAATCAAAATGTTTAGTAATAAACTAGGCCAAACCAACATATTGATCCCCTAAAACCTACTAAATACCCCGATAATATGAAAGTAATAAAAATACATAAGTTGTAAAACTGATTAACTTTGGAACTTTGATTTACCATAATGAACATGTTGGAACTTTCATTTAAAATGGTTAAAAACTTTGGAACTTTCATTTACTATGGTGAAAACTTTGGAACTTTGATTGTCCATAGTGAAAACCTTGGAACTTTCATTTACTATAGTTAACTATAGTAAACTTTAGTTAACTATACATGTAGTATTATAGTATATTTGTTAGGGTTAAGTCATAAGTCAAGTCAAGTCATGTTGTATTTGAATGGTTTGGTGAAGTCAAGCGAATCAAAATTAAAATATGTTTCATTATTGATTTATAAAAGTGCTATTATTTAAACGTTTTAAGACTAAATTCGTAATTAATATATTTCAAGAATATTGTTATAAATAGATTCTGACAACACAGCGTTCACGACCTGTTTTTATATACAAAGCACAGTACTCTTAAGTTCAATGTTGTATCGACCTCCAATCGGATCAAAACAAACAAGAACAAGGCATTCTTGCTTCAGATTTTGCTCTTGGCGATCTGAAACATACAGGTTCGATACTGGCATGAAAGAACCATACGATATGGAAATGCAGTATTGTCTATAGAGATGCGTCGTTATTGCACTACCTGTGAAAATCTTCTGACACATTCAAGTTTACTTGCCTGTTTTGACAGTCTTTTCTTCGTGGGGACTTTACAGCCGTAAAAAAATACTATAGACAGACACAAAACCAAATTGACACGCAGACTTGAGAAACTGATTCAATAAAACATGCAGATATTGCACCTCTCTGCGAAAACGCATACTAATTCTGAGGCTCTGTCACAAAATATTGCAAAATTGGTTGAATTCCTTTGATACCCATGAAGAAAAGTAAAAACGATCTGCAAAATGAGATGCTGGATTTATATTTATATAATGCAGATTTTCTCTTTCTGATGTATCAATCTGTCATTTACTTATTTAAAACTGCTCAGACAACAATGCAAAATGTACACAAGTTAAATTAACCTTAACTCAGAAAAGTAATTCGTAATTATTTTTATTTATATTTCAATTAAAAAATCAAATAATACAAGGGAGAGGACTTTTCATGCTGTAAATAAAGAAACCTTGATGGTTTAAATCTTATAAAAGAAAAATGCCAAAAATTGTTTTTATTAATTTTCATTTCTTTCTCTTTTCTTAACACTACTATATTCTTTCGTCGAATTCTCTACGGTTAATCACATTGAAATTAACTGCTTAATTAGCTCAGTTACAGGATCCTAGTTCACCCCATGTACATCTGCCCTCGTCATTTCTTTGACAGAAAGCATTCCTAGAACACCACTCATCCGGGACATTACACTCGTTTTCGGTGGCCTTTGGGAGTTCCGGAGCATTTGGAATTCCTCTTATCTTGTCGTAATTGAATTTTATCTGCAACATATCGAAGTTATAAATAAGAAAAAATATGTTTGTGAAATATTGATGCCCCCACTAGGGTTAAACTTTCGTAATGCTAATATAATATGTTGGTACTATAAGTAAGGTCTTCTCGCAAAAAAGACCCTTGTGAAAAGGCCCTATTACAACTTGTTCAAAGGTTATGGCCAGGGTTAAAGTTTTATTTTTGTTAAAGCAGGTCAGACGCCAAGGTCAAGGGGTGTAAGTTGTTGATATCTAAAGGAGGGTTTTGGATCATGGATTACATATGCTCTAACCTTGCAAATGTTATGACCAAGGTTATGGCTTTTCAGAAGTAGATCAGACCCAAAGTCAAGTTCAAAGTGGCTGGTATCTAGAGGTCTTTTAATAAAGATTACCAATGTGAAATATGAAAACCCTAGTCCTAACCGTTCGCAAGATATGACAAAGGTTATTTTTTTAAAAGAGTGTCAAATTCATATTTCAATGTCAAAGTTATTGGTATCCAATAGAGGGTATTGTCATAAGGATAATAGATTTGAAATATGAAAGCTCCAGCCCCTACCGTTTAAGAAAATATGGCTAAGGTTTAAGCTTTTTTTAAGAGTAGGTCAAAGTCAAAGGGACAATAAAGTTCTTGGTTTTGTCACAAGGATAACATATTCGTAGCCCCAGCAATTCCAAAGTTATGGCTAATAAAAATTTTACGAAACAGTCAAACGTCAAGGTAGCTGCAGATCTGTAGCGTTATGGTTTTATATATTAGTATTTGACCATAACGTTACAGATCCCGTAATGCAAAAAATGTGCAATTTATGGCGCAAGATTTTTTACGCACTGTTTGGACGAATTTCTCCACTTTCCAACATTGGTAAATTATTAACCTTTCTCTCCATGATTCTAGAAACATTTTTAAATACATCTGTGTATTTTATCCACCTCCGACCCCTTATAGACATCTCTACAAGTGATAAATTTGCTTGAATTAGAATTTTCTGCAATCCCTCAGACAATTCAACTCAAGCCAGTTTACTCCTTATAGAGGCGACTATAAAGGGTTGGGAGGAGTATAAAATATACAAATTGGTTTAAGAATGTGTCTGAAACTAGAGGTTAAAAAGTTAAAACTGTAGATGATTTAGTTGGAAGTTGGACAGGGAAGAAATTCTCCCACATAGTGCGCAAAAAGTCTTGATTTTGACCTTAGAATTTGGCCTATATTTAAAAAATGTTAACCTTTGCAATAACTTTTGAACGATTGGGGCTAGGGCTTTCATACATCCCATATATAATATTTCTGACAATGCCTTTCTTCAGCTAGAAACCAACAATCTTAAACCTTTGACTATGACCCCAGAGTAACCCTTCATAAAATGTTTGTCATAACTCTTTCCCATAAACCTTTGCCATAACCTTTGAACAGGTGGTGGTGTTTTTTTTCACCTCTGCATTTTTGTGATGAGGCCTTATTTTGCGAATCAACATGTTTGATTTGCCATACGGGAGCATCAGTGTCTCAGAAACACTTCTTGTTTATAATTTAAGACAAAGGGGTGTATTTTATATTCATTAGTATTCATTAAGTATAATAAACACATATTCTCAAATTACTTAGTATTTGTCATTTGACAAATGACAAGATATATAAATAAGGAACAGAGCTTACCTGACAACTACAGTCGTACTTTGTCGTCATCCGTTCGATGTCGTCATCACTGACATCATCGATTGCTTTGTAAGTAACAACTTTTACCTTGCCATCTCTTTCTTTTGCTAGAAGATAAACACGACACGAGTCATAAATGCAAATACATGTACATGAAAAACACCTTTATACATTACAAAAAGATTTTTGGTTCATTCACCGACCATTTCAAATTTTGTGTATACACGCAGGGCTTGTTTAAATATACACAAATCATACAATTGCAAGGAGTTAAATAAAATAAAAATGTAATCGTCTTGTTTTAGATGCTCTGTTTTTTTCACATTTTGAGAAAGTCCCTTAAATGAAACTATTAATATCTTTCAAAAACTTTTTTTTATTCCGAAATACAACTTTGATGTTTTTTTTAAACAAAGGTATCACAGATTTATTTATTTTTTCAATTCATTTCGAAGTTTTTTGGTCCCCATAATAATTATTTTATCACCATATTCGCAGTGTTTCTGAATAATAAAAAAATATATCCCTCCTACATGTTCCACTTACCCACCAAGTTGTTTATTCTGAGTCTCGAGAGAGCAAATAAACACTTTTTTTAAAAAAGATTGGGGTAATCAATTCTATCTAGATCTTAAATTAAAAACATCATGAAAGATGTCTTACCATATATTAGGTAGGTAGTGCCGACGTTTAATATCTGGGGTCCACAGGAATGGAAAGGGCCATCACCGTAGATTGTGTCCGTGGCTAATTTCTCCTTGATCTCTCCCTATTTTTAGGTTTAAAAAGGTACTGTAATATCACGTATTGTCGCTGAGTATAATTTTCGTGTTTCAGGGAAAAGTATGCTCTCGTGGGGATTTTATTTCGGGGTTGAAAAAGTGTTGTGATATTGATTTTCTACATTTCAATGTGGACATTAATTCATGGGTCTTACCACACCACAAATACAATTTTGAAAATTAAATGCTAAAATTGGTAATGTCTACGGAAGCCCAATAGTGACAACAATGCGATCCACAATACCATAACTGTATTGGAATATACAAGGGGCGGGGCTTACTGGCGGTGAATTATTAAATAAAGAAAAACAAAATTAATATATAAAGAAAAACGAAATTATTAAATAAAGAAAAACGAAATTAATATATAAAGAAAAACGAAATTATTAAATAAAGGAAAACGAAATTAATATATAGAGAAAAACGAAATTATTAAATAAAGAAAAACGAAATTATTATATAATGGGAAACGAAATTATTAAATAAAGAAAAACGAAATTATTATATAATGGCAAACGAAATTATTAAATAAAGGAAAACGAAATTAATATATAAAGAAAAACGAAATTATTAAATAAAGAAAACGAAATCAATATATACAGAAAAACGAAATTATTAAATAAAGAAAAACGAAATTAATATATAAAGAAAAACAAAATTAATATATAAAGAAAAACGAAATTAATATATAAAGAAAAACAATATTATTAAAAGTAGAAAAACTGAAACTAAAATACGGAATTTATAGAGGTGCACGGTAAGGGTCTGAACCCATAAATCATTAGTGCACCGCGTCTGATGGACCTGATTTTGTTTCGACAATAAACGAGCGAGATGTTTGCCTTTACATTCACCTTTTCCTACATCGAAAACATATCCATTACAATACATGAATGGGGAGAATTTAACCTTTGATATCTAATTGCACAACTATTTAAGAAAACATGAACGTTAAGATTCCGTTGTTTACAACTCGTAATTGTTGAATTTTTAACATTAAGGAAATTCCCTTATCCATTATTCAACTATCGCACAATACATTCGTTAGAAAATGCTGTAAAATAATACGTTATCGATCGGACTTGGGTTTGTTTGACATTATAAAAAATTGTTTAAAGAGAACAGGTGCAAAAAGTAAAACAAGTCAAAGAGGTTACAAGAAGTAGATTTTAATGATTGCTTACTATATTAAAAGTAAAGCAAATCACCTTCAGTTGATTCCTTGGTCTTATCAACGCATAATTAGAGGTGATGTACTGGCTACTAGTACTTGTTCTCACATATTATAAATGTCAAACTCTCAATCTGTACTATTTATAAGTCAGTGGTACTATAGTTCTTGTTCTCATATATTTTAAATGACAAACTCTCAATTTGTGTATTTATAAGTCGGTGATATTTGTGAACAAACAATGCACACTCTTGTAAATAACAAATCCCACAAAGTAATCAAATCATTTTTCTTTTTATAGTTTAAACAATCTAAGATTTATGGGTACACAGATCGGACGCTAGGTTAAGTTCGTGGGAATCCAGTAATACGATACGCAAGGTCTTGACCTTTTGCGATTCAAGTGCTCTTTTGAATTGGATGTCATTAATTTTCATCAAGCAGAAACAGCCACCCTCATGATCCTCTATGCATAATGCCACACATTAACAAATTACGTATACCGTTAAACAATTATTGACAATTTACTTCAAACATTAGATTGAAGTATTTGTTTCAGTTGATATTTTCTCCTTCTCCCTCACTCTCCTTTTTATTTAATAATTTCGTTTTTCTTTTTTAATAATTTCGTTTTTCTTTATATAATAATTTCGTTTTTCTTTTTTTAATAATTTCGTTTTTCTTTATTTAATAATTTCCTTTTTCTTTATATATTAATTTCGTTTTTCTTTACTTAATAATTTCGTTTTTCTTTATATATTAATTTCGTTTTTCTTTACTTAATAATTTCGTTTTTCTTTATATATTAATTTCGTTTTTCTTTATTTAATAATTTCGTTTTTCTTTATATATTAATTTCGTTTTTCTTTATATATTTTTGGTTTGCACTATTGGGCTTCCGTAGATGTCACAATATATTAAAGAAGAACCTATGTCGGAAAAGCCTTTGTCACAAGATTTTCAAACTTTTCAAAATGATAAATTAGTACTTGCTTATGAATCAGTTAAAAGCACAAATGTTTCCTTGTTATTATATGAAGAGCAGCCTGTGAAATTTGGAATGGTAATTACATACTGCGTCTACACATCTTCGGTTATTTTTAGGCAAACTTGTCTTGAAGAAAATAATTATGAAAATTACAAAAACACTTCTTCAAACATCGTCGTTTATAGACTTTATTAACCGCACAGTATTTAGCAATATTTCACAAAAACAGATTGATTTTTTTGTTCAATTGACATAAAAGATATGTCAACATTTAAAATAAAAATAGACAAATGAACATTGTTTTTAGTTAATTTTCAACCCTACAATTTTAAATATTTTTGATTTTAAGGAGTCTTTGTCAGAATGTTTTCAATCTTCAATATGATAAAGAATATACCCAAATTATTATAAAAAATATTAAAATATAAACCCTTCACTTCAAACTAATAAGAGATAGGTTATTTACCGATGCTAGAATTTTTTACCTTTTTGCACTTACACAGGATTTAATTATTAAATGACTGTTGGAGTTACTCTCCGATTAAAAATGCTAACATTTATCAAAAATTCTTCTGTTTTATTTAAAAAGATCATTTTTGATAGAAAAATTGTATTCAAACACCAACCCTTAAATATATATTTGAATAATTAATAAATAATTATGAAAATGAATGCACACCATTTCATGATAGACATCACAAAATTTGCACATTACCTACAATAGAACTCTGACTTAGCTTTATTTCGTCAAGATATTACACTTTTCAGTTGGCAACTGAAGATTTCTTAGGACTTTTGCATTCCTTCGAAAAAAGTTGCATACCATCCACATTATCACAATAAGTTGTACATTGTATACCGGGTATTACATTAATTGTAATATCATTACACGAGATAGTCTTGAATTTGTCCACTTACATGTTTACAATTCAAGATCTAGTAAATGAAAGTGCCTATATTTTTCTCTAATTTAAGAAATGTATTTTCATTAAGCTTTATAACAAAAACAAAAAAAAAAATAATTGAATATATGTATTAAGATTATTTTAGATTTTAAATTAAATTCCATGAATTTTAAAATGCTTCATTTTCTACAATTTTTTTTGAAGCTGTAAAGTACGAAAAAAGTAACATTACATTAATTTTGACTTCATAATGGATCGAGCACAGGCTAAACTCATTAACTAGAAATGATGTCATACGACATAGGTTCTACGGTAAATTTATCTTTGCAACTTAAAAACGAGACACAACGCAGAGATCATAAATTTGAATTATATATCTTTTTTTGCAATTCAACAAACGCTACCACATTCCAAAGTCCCATCAAATCATGTTGAATAATTGATTTTGATAACTGATACATAATAAAATGAAATGCCACACGTGCAGGCAAACGTTTTTAAAACACCAAAACAGCTGCTGTAAGCGGATCAACAGTATTATAAAATAACGGACAAGTGAGCAATATTTTTACCCAAAGTGGAAAGCACTAAGTCTTGTTCAAGTACGAGGGGTGATCGAAAAGTTTGCGAACTACTTGATTAACTTTCATAAAAAAAAAGAATTTAATTTTAGTGTTGATTTTACTGATTATGCACATCTGCCACCGTTCTGCTCATGCGCGTTTCAGGTGATATAGGCGGTCAAGGTAAAATTTGGGGAACTTGCCCCCCCCCCTTTTTTTAACCATTGCTACGGGCATAGCTCCAATATATACAAACTACTAAACAAGGTAAACAAGGAGGGTTATGTCGTTTGTTGGATCAGCGTTTGTTAAAGACAATTTGAAACAATTTAGAGGTTTATATTGAAAAAAATTGTTTTATAAGATTAACTTGCAAATTGTAACAGTTAAATATTTTTCCTGTATTATTTTCCCGATGTTTAAGAATTGAACGAGATATTGCAATGGACAGTTTGCTAACATCTTTGCTTACTTATTTATACTAATTTAAAAATACTTTTTAAAACATGGGTGTGAGTTTTGGCAACATTTAAAATAATAAACATGCCGAATTGTATCACATGCATCAATTAATTGTAACTTCTAACAGAAACATGAAACGAAAACGTCAATACGTATATACAGTCGGGGAAAAAACTTTTTAAATATGTTTTGTTTCACCACGAGTGTGTCATAATTTTTAGCAGGGAGTAAAATAACTTTTAGAGTTAAGTAAAATAAAACATTATACACCATTGTGGAGTATACTTGATAATTAAGATACGTTAGATGCAAGAATGAATAAAGATATTCGATCATATAATTTGATCCTAGTTATAAAAATGAACTTTCATCAAATTTTATGCATAGAATAGGTACATAAAATTATATTTTTTTCATTTTAACGATCTATTTTCCATTCTCTCTCTCTCTCTCTCTCTCTCTCTCTCTCTCTCTCTCTCTCTCTCTCTCTCTCTCTCTCTCTCTCTTGAAGACTAAGACAAATAATGACAGATATTTATTTTTATTTCGTAATTATGTAGATTTCTTTCTTTCTCTCTCATGTTCTCTCACTCTAAAAAAAATACAAAAACTGGAAGATTTTTTCTAAGTTTAATATTTCTTTCCAAGGAAGTTAATTTCTATAGGAAGAATAGTACATTTGTCAGAAATGGTCAAATCTCGACAAAAGAAAGAATGGATAAGAATATCCTTTCCCAAAAACGAGCATGGCAACCAAACCAAATCCTCTGTCTCGGGAGAGTCGTTTATTCAAGTTGAATAGAGAATGAGTGTCTCCTTTTTATCATATCCAATATGTTTAAAATCAAAATTAAACGATATCTTAGGAATTTTATAATTATATTATTGTTAAGGAATTGAACAATATTTTCGAACTGTAAATTTGAGGTCTTTCATCACAAATTACTTAATTAGAAACACATCTCTTTTCAGGTTTATGAAATAAAATAAATTACTTAATTAAAACACATCTCTTTTCAAACTTGCTTTCACTGGGCAATTAACAGACAAAATATCATTTTCAATCATTTCTCTTCCCTCATTATAACAATTAATCCAATCATTGATTAAATTTCTTGGAAGTCTTTTGTCTTAATTAACTGTGTATGAAATATTATACGCTAATGTAAAGGAATTTCAAAGATATACCATAAATTTTATAGTCGTTCGTTGAACGCGTACGAATAAGGCAACCATTATTTTTCGTCACAAGTTATCTACACAGTGACGTCATTTTCACATTGTGACGTCACAAATAAGGAAAAAACTTATTCAGCACATGTTATTTATAGAACTTGTGTATTGCTATATGTGTACCAAATTTTATTCTAATCTAAGTTGTGGTTTTGTAAGTATAGATATAGTTCACGAACCTTCTGATCACCCCTCGTTGGTGCAGTGATAAACTAGGTAAATGTACGAGTAATAATATTTATTGAAATTGGGCCATCCTTAAATAATGATTTCTTGACCTCTTCAGACTCAGGGTAAAAAAAATTGGGTTGATATATAATATGTAGTTGGAAAATTGTTTTCCCTGAAAATTTCAAAATATATATAAATATGTTGACTGAATGGGAAAATTCGGGAATAAAAACAAAACAAAAAAATATATTTATTCTTACTGGTTGAAAAAATGTTTTGAGTCGGGCCATTTTAGTCGGTTGGGAGAGGAGAGGGCAACCAAAAAATTTTTTTTAAAGATGGCCTAAGCAAAATCAAGATAATTACCTTGAAGACGGTATGGATGTATATTTCATATTTATAATATCCCGAGTTGTCCTCCTGCTCTTTTGGGCTTTTAACTTCGGCCTCAAAAGCTAAGAAACCAACACAAATAAAACATGTACGAGATGCTTAATCATTATCATTCTTTCGTTAGATGTTAATTTTGGAAAACGCTTTAATTTGCATTTCATAGAATTATGAATATATTAAATAAGACTATTAAAATATGCAAAGAATTCCCCGACTTTTAATTCATTTTTTTTTTGTTAGTTTTATTTTCATTATTTAAAAAAAATATCATTCTCATGAAATTATTTTATTGTTTGTTTGGCTGACTCCTAGTCTCCTAATAGATATATATAACAATACATGATCAATCAAAGAATTAATAAAATTTAATATCAAGTATAATTTCAAATAAAAATATATTATTTTACGAAGAGTTGTAAAACACGAAAATTCTGTACACGTTGTAGACATATACAGTGTGTATGTATAATATTCCCTGAACCGTTGTACGTAATATATTTAAAAAATGGAAAAAAAAAAAACATTATAGTTTTCAAGAGTGTGAGAATCTTACATCTGAATAATTAATGGCTTTGATAAGAATCGATCATTTAAAAAGGGACATAATGTGAATAGATACTAGCGCTGCTTTTAATTTCATTAAACATTGACACTATAATTGCCAAAAAAGCCATAAATAAAAAGTAGAAATAAATATATAAAATACCGTAGTCTGCATAGCAGTAATCCTGCTGGTCCACTCTAGGGACGTAGGAGCATCCAGATGCTAGAGCCACCAAAATAGAAATCACCGAAAGTTTACATATACCCCTCAACATCATTGCACAGTTATACTAAATACGTATAGTTGTACAACCCTGTTTATACTTGTAATCTTATAGTTATATTATTGGAATACGTATCCTTTATAAATGTGCCTCACCAGCTGATGCACATGTATGTACTGACCAAATGTCATTTGAAAAATGAGAGGTCATTTAAACTACAGCATCATAATGGTCATTTGGATTCATTCTAATAATTCTAAACGTAATTTCTTGTTTCACATCACTATTTTTTTTAACCTGTAGTTAAGTTCAATTTTTTATTGACAACATCCCGTTTAAGAGAGTGAGTAATGATAAAATCATTTATTTTATGAAAGGTTTGATTTTAGTTTCTACAAATGTAACATAATAAAATCAAGTTATAGATTATCATTCAGACCGAATAGCGTGCACATACACACCTGTCGTATTTATTCAACCTCGTGTAACAGGTGTAACAAGCCACGATACGTGTCCTCTCTCTTCTCATGTGTAATATTAATTACATGTATGTAGACATTTACATACCCATAACAAATCAAATTTAAATTTATATGTAATACAAAGTGCTACACTTTAAGAACTCCACTTACTATATTCGGTATAAAAATTTTCTTTCTTCTTTATATTAATAATGAACATATATTAACATCAACATGATCAATATTTATATAAATTGGGTGTCTAATTCTTAAAAAAAAAACCGCTATCCTTGAAGCAAATTGCAGGTAAATAAGAGCATATTCAGCGAGATTCGTTTTGATCATTTTTCAAGTCCAAAGTCGTTAAAATTCCCAAAATTCCATTGCATGGTAACCTTCCATCATAACAAACCACGGATTTTTGTCACCTCATTAGGTGCGTGAAATAAATCCATTTTATCATAAATCATATTTACTGAATTTATATTCTTAATTTCGCCAATTTTTTTGTTTAATGTTTTTTATTTATTTATTTACTTAGTTATTATTATTGGGGGGGGGGGGGGGCTTTTGCATACAAGCAAACATGGTAGCTACATGTACTCCACTGAGTTGTATGTCAAAACATTAATTTATATGCAACATCATTGTCTTTTTTTGTAAATCTCATTATCTAAATTGTATTTTAGAGATAAAAGATTTTACTCATGGTAATGCAACTTATACCCATAGCTCCGTATAATCTTAATATACGTTAATGTTTTCTAATTCTAAGGAGGAAATTCTTTAAAATGAATATCTATTAGTCCAACAAGAATTTGAATTAACATATCTTTATTGGATTCGAAAACTTCAAAATATTCTTACAAACAAAAAAAAAATAAATAAAACAACGGGTTCCAGTAAATGTTCTAACAAACCTTTTTCTTTACTCCTCACTAAAATTAAAGTTGTGGAGAATCGTCAGGAATACTGTCCAATAGAAATTCAAATACTCTGAAGTTGATATTAAAAAGATAATTGGGTTTCTTATTGCTGATATGTATGAGGTTTTTAGACACCAGGTCTTCCAGTACTCTATTTGAATCTCCATTGATTCCAACTGCGACCTGTTATAAGCAGACCTATTTTTGTATTCATATATATATGGAGCAAATTTTGTCCACAATTATATATGTGAAAAGAAGAAAAACACCTGCTGTGGCCTTCAACACACATATATTACCAATGCTTATAAATGTTCTTATGTCAATACAATACATACCGGTGAACTTTCAATGAAATATACCACTGTGTCTGACACATCTTTTTCATAGTTCGACATTTTACTTGAAAAAAAGATGTTAATAATTATTTAACAATCACTTTTCAATCTTCAACTTCAACTTCCCTTACTTAATCAGCAAGATACCTTTATCAACTGCATGCAGGGTATATACTCTAACAAAAAAATACTATAGTTAACTATAGTTTACTATAGTTAACTATGGTTATAACTTTGACACTTTGAAAACTTTGATTTACTATAGTGATAACTTTGACACTTTGAAAAACTTTGACGAAAAATTTGACAATTTGAAAAACTTTGACGAAAACTTTGACACTTTGAAAAACTTTGGTGAAAACTTTGACACTTTGAAAAACTTTGGCGAAAACTTTGAAACTTTGAAAAACTTTATCGAAAACCTTGATAATTTGAAAAACTTTATCGAAAACTTTGATACTTTAACACTTTGAAAAAGTTTATCGAAAACTTTGACTCTATGAGAAAAATTATCGAAAACTTTGACACTATAAAAAACTTTATCGAAAACTTTTATACTTTGAAAAACTTTTATCGAAAACTTTGACACTTTGAAAAACTTTATCGAAAACTTTGACACATTGAAAAACTTTATTGAAAACTTTGACACTTTGAAAAACTTTATTGAAAACCTTGATACTTTGATAAACTTTGACAAAAACTTGGATACTTTGACCCTTTGAAAAAAATTATCAAAAACTTTGACACAATTAAAAACTTTATCGAAAACTTTGATACCTTGAAAAACTTTATCGAAACTTTGATACCTTGAAAAACTTTATCGAAAACTTTGACACTTTGAAAAACTTTATCAAAAACTTTGATACTTTGAAAAACTTTGGCGAAAACTTGGACACTTTGAAAAACTTTATCGAAAACTTTGACACTTTGAAAAACTCTAGCTATCGAAAACTTTGACACTTTGAAAAACTCTAGCTATCGAAAACTTTGACACTTTGAAAAACTTTGGCGAAAACTTTGACACTTTGAAAACCTTTGGTGAAAACTTTGACACTTTGAAAAACTTTGGCGAAAACTTTGACACTTTGAAAATCTCTGGCGAATACTTTGACACTTTGAAAAACTTTGGCGAAAACTTTGACACTTTGAAAAACTTTGGCGAAAACTTTGACACTTTGAAAAACTTTGACGAAAACTTTGACACTTTGAAAAACTTTGACGAAAACTTTTGACATTTTGATTTACTATAGTAAACTATAGTTAACTATAGTAAACTATAGTTAACTATAGTTAACTATAGTGTTTTTTTGTTAGGGTATCTCCAAATTCATTCGATACGCAAGAGCATGCTCTACGTATGAAAAATTCTCAACGAGGTAAATTTTTGACAAACAAGTTGATGAAACAAGAATATCAACAGTTTCGTTAAAAGTCATCATTTCGTTAGTTCTATGAACGATACAATGACCTTGTCACATACATGGCAAATACAATTTATCATTGAGTCAAATGTTGACTGACGTTTTTCATACTAATTGTTAGGCCATTATTTAAACACTAAATTATTGACGGATTCATCGTTACTTCCCGGTCATGGCAAGGATCGATCATGCGGCGGGTGTGACAGGTCGGCGGGGGGGTCCTCACTCCTCCATGGCACCTAATCCCATCATCTCAAATGTTTTTGGAGGTCTGTGTTTGATCTGCTCCAATTTAATATTGTTTGATCGACTTTTAAGCTTGAGTGCTGTTCATTACTTCCATATGATTTATTGTTACAAACTGCTTGAAAAATATTGTGATCTGTCCTTAAATAGTGGACGATAAAGCCCTATATTTCTTAGCAACATTCGGGGTCTCTTGTTTCTCAATATATGACCCTCCTAATCCATCCTGGGATCATAAATCTGGGCGCATATGACAGGATCGTATACATATTTAAAGAGAACTTCGTGTCCATTGTCAAATTAAAACATAGGTAATCAGAGATTACAGAGCTCACCTCAACGAATGTTGTCTTTAAGTAAGGCAAAGTCACACAATTAACAAACAAAAAGTGTACATTCCAAAAATGAAAATATTTAAGCAATTTTGATCTGATACTTTGAAATAGACCTATATAAAAAATTCAAACTAGTTCTTCTTCATTAAAATCCAGCGTCTGAAGCAAATTTGAGAGTTGACATCCCTTGATGCATCATTTGTGCAAGTTTGGTTTATACAATGTTATATAAGCCTTATAGTTTTTTGGTAATAGACCTGCACCCATAACTTTTACCTGGTCCATTATCTGAAAAATGTATGTCGAATTCAGCATCCGAAGCATGTCCATTAGTGTGCTTCCTAAGATGTATCGTCCAAGCAAGTTTGCTCATTATAGGGCTCGTAGTTAATTGGAAATGAAACCAGCATCAAAAACTAACATTTTCACTCATCCACAAAATGTAGGTCAGATTCAGCATCAAAAGCAAGCCTGGTAGTATGCATCCTTATATGTATCATCCATGCAAGTTTGTTAATTAAAGAACTCATAGTTACTTGGAAATGAATCATGCACCAAAAACTTTAACCTGTTCACTCATCCAGAAAATGTAGATCAGATTCAGTATCTGAAGCAAGCCTGGTAGTATGTATCCTTAGATGTATCATCCATGCAAGTTAAGTCATTATAGGGCTCATAGTATCTTAGAAATGAGACCTGCACCAAAAACTTTAACCTGTTCACTCAATCGGAAATTGTAGGTCAGATTCAGCATCTGAAGAAAGCCTGGCAGTATGCATCCTTAGATGTATCATCCATGCAAGTTTGGTCAACATAGGGCTTATAGTTACTTGGAAATGAAACATGCACCAAAAACTTTAACTTGTTCACTCAATTGGAAAATGTAGGTCAGATTCAGCATCCGAAGCAAGCCTGGTAGTATGCATCCTTAAATGTATCATCCATGCAAGTTTGGTCAACATAGGGCTTATAGTTACTTGGAAATGAAACATGCACCAAAAACTTTAACCTGTTCACTCAACCGGAAAATGTAGGTCAGATTCAGCATCCAAAGCAAACCTGGTAGTGTGCATACTTAGATGTATCATCCATGCAAGTTTGGAGAACACAGGGCTTATAGTTCCTTGGAAATGAGACCTACACCAAAAACTGCACCAAAAATGTTAACCTGCTCCAAAAACATTAACCTGGTCATTCCTTTGCTGAAATTGCAGCATCTGAAACTTTGACTGGTACAATGAAACACACTTAAAGCATCTTCCATGCACGTCTAATCAATATAGGACATAGAAGTACTTAAAAAGAAAACTGCTCCAAAAAACTTAACCTTAACCTGGGACGCTGACGCCGAGGGTATTACATAAGCTCCCCCAACTTCGTTGAGGTGAGCTAAAAATGCTCAGGAGTTAATAAATGAAAGAAAAAGTGAGCAAGCTCACATACCCCATACTCCCCCAAAACTCAAAGTGCTGAAAACCCTGGAAAAAAATAAAGGAATCGGAATTTCCCGGTGATATGCACATCTACACGTTGCATATGTCCTAAATATCTGCAAAGTTTGACGAAATTCTGTGCAGTGGTTTAAAAGGAGTTGTGCTGACAAACTGTTCATCTCGATCTATATTCAAGGGAAAGGCCAAAAAATCTAGGTTGAAAGGTGCTGAAATTCCCGAAAAAAAAACAAGATTCGGAATTTCCTGGTAATATGCACATCTACACATTGTGTCATAAATATCTGCAAAGCCTGACGAAATTCTGTGCTGCCGTTTATGAGGAGTTGCACTGACAAAAAAACAGGATCGACTGAACGACACTCTTGACGGATGGGTCAAAAATATTATACCTCACACAACTTGTTGCGTGGGGTATAAAAATACTAGTTCATTACATGATCAACTTTGCCCTACCGCACCTGGGACCAACTTACAATTAGCCCTACCCCACCTGGGACCAACAATCTGGAACAAGGAGTTCCGGAAAGATGGTAAATAATCAATTGCACTTGCACCATTTCAATAAGACACAACAAAATCAAGAAAGGTATTATATGAAACTTCCAAAAGTTGTTGATAAAAAAATGCACAATTTTATTATTACTTAAAACATTTGATAGACCATACTTCCAGTGTATATGACCTTTGACATAAGATGATACTTTGACCTTAACATATAAGCCTTAACATGCAATCTCAAATGTAATTATCAAAGTTAAAGAATGGACAGGCAGAAAACAAAACTAACTGCCCCCCTTTAAATAATTGTCCTTATTTTCAATGAGAGTTGTCAAGCTCAGTAAGTGGCTAATGAGGCAGCCACAAATTAAAACACAGTAAACTACACCAGCTCTATCATTCTGCAGCACCATTTATTTCTAGCACTCATCTAATTACATAATATTTTAACATAAATTAATAAACAATAAAGAGTGAACCTATTTCATATGACAAAACATGACTAATTCTAAATGCAGCGTTATTAACATCTTCCCTTATGCAAGCAACATATCAACAACTTACATGCTTTGATATAATCATTTCACAAGTTGAATCTTATTTGTTGAGAAATAATTGGTTAAAAAAACTAAATGGCTATTATGTTCCTATAAAATATTATTAAAAATTATACCTCGCCCTCATGTTTTAAAGAACATAGCAGCAGTACACAGTATTGACGACAAATATTATTCCCAAAATGTGTTTTCAACAAGGAATTAAAACATGCAATATAGTTATATAAAACAATAAGTATAATGGATATTGCATATGGTTGATGGCAACTTTAAAAAAAATTACCCCAGGAAAAAAATTGCCCAACCAAGATACAGCTTAAAACTATATACTGATATCTAAAAGATCTAGAACCACACACAATAGGTCACATTATGTTATTGTTAATTTTAAGTCACATGATGCAATCACTTTTTCCTCTGATAAATGGCCTTCCTGCAACAACTCATATTTTACACTGCTATGCCACTAGCATCCCCCTCTAAATAAAAAAAAAATCTTGAACAGAGATGTTGTCAATCATTATAGATCTCTGATTTGTTGAGTGCTCACAATTGAGTAACATCTCTTAAAAAATTTCAAATTTTAAGACAGTAAAAATGTTTATACATGTATAATAACAATTACTTTGTTACATAGTATACAGGAAAATTTTCGACCCCATCTTATTTTCACCCCTTTCACATTAACCAATTGTGGGCAAATTTAAAAAGGGGTGAATTCAATGAAGACAGTATACTTCCTAAAGCAGAACTGTGACTGGGCGAATTTAAAGTGAAAATCACTTCACTGTAAGCATAAATTTTTTTAAATGCATGTTTGCTATAAGACTATTGCTGGCACGTAGCAACAGGAGGGGCCAGGGGGGAGGGGGGTCTGCTTTTTTGCTTGTCAACTTTTCCAAGTAAAAAAAAATTTATCTGGCTGCCCCCCCCCCCCCCCACTTTCAAAAATGATGCTAAGTGCCTGTAGTATGTTCTGGTGTAGAGTGAAAGAGCAAAGGTTTCTGAGGATTCAGGCCGACAATTACTAGCCAATACTGACTAGTGATATTGACTTCAAGGTAAATTAATCAAGTGACTCCAAAACAGATGACTTATTTGAACAATTCCTAGTACATGATTATGAGAGTTCATAACTCTAGTGTAACATGTCACTTGAAGCATATAACAGAAAATAAGTCTTCTTTTACAGTCTGTTTACACAGAAAATAACATAAATAAGCCTTCATCTACAGAATGCAATAACAAGTTTCTAAAGATAAAAACTGTATTGCCTTAAAACAAACAAGTTGTAAATTGCAACTTGACACAAATGAAGTTGCCACTTGATATTATGTATTTAATTTCATAATTATAAAAATGAAGGAACACTATCAAAACACTCCATTTTATCTTTTCTCAATTTTAACCCAAATCTCATCTTCTGGGTGAGTTACAAGGCCATGCACTGGGGTCACGACCTGACCTTCAATCAGTTTGACCTTGAACTTTCTTAGCAAGGTCACGAGTCCTATGGTGGCTTCAACATAGGCAAATTTGTATCCTGGACAGATCCTCTTCCCGGCAAATCCGAACGGCTGGAAGGCAAGACTTGGTCTGGACTTTGAGATTTCAGGACTAAATCTATCTGGGTCAAACCTATAAAAGGAAGCATATACTGTAGTGTTTCTCACAAAATTCTTCATTTCAATTTCAACAATTGAAATGTTTCCTAATTCATGTAATTCAGACAAGCTTCTTTTAATATTCCATATTATTTAATAGGAAAATCAACAGATTGAAATATAGTGAAGAAACTGCCCCTAATCAAGAAAACAATATTTTTATTAATTAAACTAATCCATTTCAATTTAACTATCAGCCCGCCTACACTAACCTTATGAATATATTGCATTTAGGGATGCTCACAACCAAACAGGCTCAGATGCTAGTCTGAACTACATTTTCTGGATAGGTGACAATTTTAAAGGTTTCTAAGCTTTTCTTTCCCAGGAATCAATAAACCCAATTCTAAACAAACATTTACTTTTTCATGCTCGATGAATTAAGAAATGCTCACTTCCTGAACATTCATTGGGCATGAGATCACCCAACTTATTAATAGCCATTCTCTGTAACCACTTAAAATTCGTTGCCACGCATGGTCACCGATTTTGATGAAACTTCACCAATGCTTAGTACTTGATACCAGAAAAAAATATCAAACAAAATTTCGTTGCCATGTGTCTCGGTTGCTATGGCAACAACTGGAAAAGTTTGAAAAATCAAGATTTTCAGCCACTTTAAGTCTTGACAGTGGCTTAATAAAAATAAGAAAAAGCAAACAAACCATTCTCACAAAAGCATGACACCTTGATGTTACTTATACTGTAAAGGAACTGTTTAGAATATATCTCTAAGTAAGTGGTAACCAAGGGTACATTTGGAATACATTTAAAATGCTGAAATATGCTGAAAAACACTCTGCATTCACTAATGGTAGGTGTTACATGCTCAAATTCAATCAACAACTTAAGAAAAACAATGAAAATGCTTGACCTTAAGTAAATAAGTATAAGCAATATTATTCTATAAATAACTTTTATGGTTGCTATGGTAACACAGTGTAACCATGCAAAACCAGTAACTAAGATTGGGTTAATGCTACTGTCTTGAGGAAAAAACATGAAAATTCAAGACTGGCAAATAATGCATCCTTAGGACCTTGCAACACCAAAACCATAAAAGAAATTGGGTATAATTGCTACTTTGCAGTGTTACCATGGAAACAAAGTACACAGTGCTTAAACGTGAATCATTGGATGATAGTCAAAATTAAGAGTCAAGTTAGCTGTTAATAAATATCTATCATAAAAGTTTTGGGAATCTACATTTAAGGGTACGTATCCAAGGAAAGAAAATATTTTTCAGGTTTTTAAGCATATATTTCCTGCTTATTTCCATAGCAACACTCTATTTAAAAAATCTAATCTGATTTTTTTCAAATGGGAAAACTTGGAGCACACCAACATCTTATAAAATTGATCATTAGTTATGAGGAAATGTGCTTTTTTTAAAAGATAGGATCAAATTTAAACGTACAGAGTGTTACTTTGAAGGCTCTCTGTGGTATAAAAACCATGGCAACCATTGCCAACCAAAATGAAATATCATATTTTGTACTTGGAATATGTTTCAAGGCTCTTTTTTCTATTATTTGGTCACATTTCATCCTATAATTTCTTTTATTTGTATGTGTATGTCTTTATAAAATTCAATGAATATTTTTTTTTACTTTTGAATGCTTTGTTACCATAGTAACATATGTAATAGTTGATTTACCAAACATGTTTATCATGCATTTGAGACATCTGACCATTACCTTTGGAAACAGTCATTGCCAATTGTTTGCTTTGCTGTAAATGTTAACTATGGGGCTCTAAACATGTTAAAAAATGCCATTTTTCGAACTTTAAGACATGTTGCCATGGTACTTACTATAAAACATAGCAACCAATTTTTGCCTGATTTCAGTTTAGGGTATCAATGACTTTTATCATAGAGAGTTTGGAGAAATTCTGAGACTATGCATGCCACAGCTCCTATATAAAATTTCAAATCATTACAGAGAATGGCTCTTAACAACAGTTATTCGGGAAAACTTTGTAACCTTTTTATATACAGTGTGCATGGTTTTTGAATTTGTCATATAAATATTTTAATCTTACTTCTTGGGAAAGTGGTACATGTAGTACTTACTTGTTGGGAATGGGGTAGTACTTTTCATTCTGCAGACTCACACCAAGGGCATGAATCACAGGAGTCTGAAATCAAAACAAGATCTTTTTCAGTTACTGTAAACCAACTCTTATTCATCATCGTGAATATTTCTTGCAGCGAACCGGTCCTTAAAGTGTATGTCTCTTAATAACAACAGATCCAAAAAGGCTTGATTGCAAATATTGATTATCACAAACTAGTTTATCCCTGGTAAATAGTGAAATAAAGTTCATTGGGGATGAAAATTGGTTTACAGTATGCATGTAAATGCACCTGATGGCACCATGCATGCAAATGCCACTTCGGTTTCATCAGTTTCCTATCAATTTCACAGTTAAAATTATCTGAATTATGTCTAAAAAACACCAACATTGTTACAATATGATCATTTTCTCTATATGACTTTCTACACACGCTTTTGTGATGAAATTAATGTTTTAAATCAGAATCAGGAGGAGTCTTACATTTTTTGGAATTTTATGCCCTCCAAGCTCGGAGTCGAAATCCTGAAATCTAGCGGCCCAGGGGGCCACAACGGCACACCTTAAAGTCTCATCAATAACTTGGTGCAGGTACCTAACAAAAACAAAATCATTGAGAATAGATATATTGCATCATACTTCTTCATGTTGTCCTGATGACAAAATGGAAAAATACATCTGAGACTGAATGAGTAGAAATTATGTAATTCCACAACAACATAAACAGACAAGATATTTCAGAACAATTCACTACTGTATACATCCAGGGTTATTTTTGCCCCCTGTTATTTTTTGCCTTTCATATCTGCAGACATTTTTATCCAATTTTAAATTGGCTCAGTCATATTTTTGTTGAAGAGATTATATTGTGTTCTTTTAATTCACCTTGTTTTAAATTCATCCGTCTGTGATTAGGGCCAAAGGGGTGAAACAAAACAGGGACAAAGTATCCCTGTATCTATACATAGTATGCCTTTGTCTAACTATGGTCTAAGTAAAACTTAAGTACGAACACAAATATTGCAAATATATGGGATATAGCAAAGTATTCATTAATTTCCAACTATATTTATTTTAATTTTACGAATTTGTTTTACTGATCTAAAGAATTAGGGATATAGTGAAGTAATTTCACAGGTCCCAGTGACTTTCTTATAACCAAGTTTTACTGCCTATCCTACTGATAGTAATAGTAATTAAATCTTTGACTATGTTTAATAAGGTCTACACTTAAACTACAATTTTTGCTATACCAAGGTCTAAACTAACACTACCAGTAAATCTTTGTCTAAGGACCTACATGTATATCTTATTTATAATACTTAATCTCTAGCTGTACTAAGGTTTACATACACAGAATGTTTGTTTGTATACATCCTACTTATAAAAGATACTAAACAGTCAGGGGCATAACTCAAACAAGTTATTTTCAAAAATAACTCAAATGAGTTATTTTACATTATTTCACACACACAAATTTTTTTTGAAAAATAACTGAAATAAGTTATTTTTATATCCTACTTGAACATTGATTTCTTGAAAATTTCGTGTTTCCTGCCAATTTGCATTGCATTTTGGGATTCCATTATGTAATACTAGATAAAGTTCACCGACTCCAATGGAGAATTGGTGAGGAGGTGGAGATAAAAAGCATTTTACTCCTTGTTTTGTGGTTTTATCCACATGGTGTATATGTCCAAATTTAATCATTAAATAAAAAAAATTCCCCACTTTTCCCAAGACTTTGAACACTTTTTCTGCATTGAGCAAGGTTTATATTTAGTCAAACATTTGTTTTTGTCTAGGTGCACGAGCAAAATCCTTTGGTGCACGGGGTGTGAAGTTAGGGAGGAATGACACAAAATAACTTAAATAAGTTATTTATTTATTGAAGCTATTTTGGAAAAATAACGTGTTTGAGTTATTAAGGTTGGGAAAAAGTAGGTCATAGCAAAGAGAAGTAACTCATTGAGACAAAAAAATAACTCATTTGAGTTATTTTTGAAAATAACTTGTTTAAGTTATGCCTCTGACTGCTAAACTACATTCTACTTACACTAAATCTTTGTATGTTTTAGGGTCTACATCCTCATCTTCAAGAACTTTTTTGATCTCTTTGTAGACTTTATCCTGTATGTCCTGATGGGTGGCCAGAAAGTACACTGCCCATGTTAAAACTGTGAAATAGAAAATACACTGTGTTATAGATAATATACTGCCCATGTTAAAACAGTGTGCTAGTTAGAATATAGAACTTGAAAGGCAACCATGTAATACCATCCAAGTCTGATTCTCTGCTAGTCCTGCTGCTATGCTGCATCAATTATGCATTTAATACTGTCGATTCCTTATTTTTCGCAAGTACTTTTTATCGTAAACTGGGTCTTTCACATAAAATGTGAGAATTATAATTCGCAAATGAACGGTTGATCAACAGAATTTATATAGACTTCAGCATCATAAAATTAAAGGCGCGTAATATTTAAGCATTATGAAAATTTGTTTGCACACACTGTTGCAGTTATGAAACTATATCACTCAAAAAATAATGATTCATTGCTTATATTTACATTTTTTAACTTTGTATCTTAAATTAACTGCAACTCTATTTAAAAACCTAATACATGTAGTATGTATTATCCTTCGTGTAAGCCACATTTAATGGATCAGCAAAAGTAACAGCTTCTGGTCAATTTGAACGTGATTTCTTGATTATCGCTTGTGACATTGCACTTCCTCAGCATTCAACGATTATGACGTCAAACTAAAACGCATGCTTTAACCTCTTTACACCCCTGTCTGTATTATGATATTTTGAATGCAATAGATTTCCATTCATTTTATATGCAAAAAATATATGTCATGTAAATATTTTTTCGCCAGTGACACTTTTTGCGGAAATTAATTCCTCACGTATAATTAGGAATCTACAGTATTTTCTTTGCCATTTCAACAAACTGTTGATGTACTATTCCCCACTCCTCCAGGGGTGTGCAATTACCATCGCCTGACGCCAGGGGCTACCAGTTTTAGAGGTCGGGCTATCTTAAATCTATACTGTGTTAGCCTGTCGGGCTAGAAAATCTAAATAGAAAGTAAACATATATTTACCTTGACTGAATTGAGGTACGAATTAACTTTTCTGTAAAATCATTTTAACCTATATGCATTGTGTGTTCCTATCACCAGTCTTCTCAGTGACAATTATAGTTGATATAAATAGGGGGAATAACCTGACAATCACAAAGCGCAAACCATTATTTGTTTAATTTATTTCAATTTAAATGGTTTTTTTAACCTTTATGTTATACTTATACATGTATTGTTTTTGGTAATTAATGGGCTAGTGACTGGCAACCTCGAGCTAGTAACTTTGCTACCACCACTAGCTCGACGGGCTGGTAATTTATTTTTGTAATTGCACACCCCTGTTCTCCTGAATCTGCTTGTAGAAAATTATACAGATTTCTCAAACAAGTAATTTGAGCCTGTGGACAATTTGTGATCGCGTACAAATTGTAAATTAATACCACACGGAAAAAAGCATTTCTACAGTATGTTCAAAGAGCTTATACATGTTCAATCATATACATTGGACAATTTTTGTGAGCACTTTAAACATGTTAGTTTGTAACAATATATATATATTGATCTTTATAGCAAGGATCTAATCCATAAGATTGAATTCTTGTAAAATTCTGGCATGGCAATTCTAACGCGAGCATCCTAGACAAACAGGCTCATTTCATTTATAGATGGTTCTACAGTACAGTATTAGCTTCATAAAACTTGATCATGTTGATGCAGTAACTTTACAATTTAATGAAGTTAATAATAAATAAGTATGAAATTCTAACTTTACTATTTCATGTACAGTAAAACTCGGTTATAATGAAGTCACTGGGATCTATGAAATTACTTCGTTATATCCGTAGTTCGTTATAAATGTATAAGAAATTCATTAAAATTTATACAGCTGGGGATCCAAGATGACTTCGCTATATCCGTAAATTCGCAATATCCGTGTTCGCACTAAATGAGTTTTGCTGTAGTGATATATGAAGTTATGTATATATTACCATTTCCCGTCGTGTGAAACCCCCCGATGACGTAAGTTAAGGCATCTGAGAAGACCAGCTCCTCGTCTGTTGTGCTTTCTAGTAGCGCGTCAATCAATAAATATTCATTCGGGTCTTTCTTGTGTTTCTTGCAGTTTTTTATTATTTTGTTGACCTGCTCCGACATTCTTTTCTTGGCTGAAAGAGAGAAGGCACAAAGTAGCACCTAAACAAAAACTTTAAAAATGAATTTCAAAATTTATTGCTTTCTGTACTGTTACATGTACTATAGAAGGATGAGCAAAGAAAAAGTAAACTAAGAATGTGTAATGAATTGCCCAGTCTTTACTGTACTTTTAAATACATGTTCAATTCAGGAATGTTTTTAAGTTTTGTGTGAGTTATTGGTGTGTGAATCACACAGACTTGTCATGAAGGCATATTTAATGAAGCCAAGCCAAGATAAAACTTTACCGTCCTCAAAAGCTTTCATCCTCGAACTTCCGTCTTCGGGGAAACCCTCTGTTAACCTCCTCTCCATTTCCTGCCATGCCTATAAAACAAGAAGTCTGTTGAGCTCCTTCGGAGGGGTGCTATAAATATCTACAGTGGACCTTCAGATATCCGGATGCTTCAGTGTCGGGACAATTTATAATCGGAACTGATTTTTTAAAATGTTATTTTGTCTTGTTTAACTGGTAATTCAGATATCCGGTGGGTAGTGGCCAACTTTTTTCAAGGCCAACTTCCTTTCACTTCCAATTTTTTCCTATATTTCCTTGCTATAAATACACTGTGGTAAAAAGTAGGGGGGGGGGGGGGCAACCATCTTTTCAATGGACATTTTCTATAGTAAAGGTAATGTTAGGGAAAAAAGTGGGGGGGCCAGGCCCCCCCCTGTTGCTACGTGCCTGAATTCATGTTTTTCACTTAGCTATGACGTCTGGAGCACTCAACCATGACGTCATGTAGCCTAAGAGTTCATCAGAAAAAAGATGTAGGCAAAGGGAAAATCAAAGAAAATGTAATAAACAGAAAATTCAATGTTTTGTAGATGAATATGGAACTTATTTCACTCGTAAGACAGGATTTTTTTATATTTTCACTTGTCCCACTTGTGAAATAAATTCCATATTCAATTACAAAACATTGAATGTCCTCTATATATCTTACTTCCACCCCCCCCCCCCCCCTCACATAACAATGATTCTACAGTACTAAAGCTGACCGTACAATTTCATACTGATGACTGAACTCTAGAATCTGTTCGTCTGACCAGGCTTTACTTCCAAACAAGTTGACCAGCCCCAGCTTTAAAGCGAACCCGATCATGTACTGTGCTAAGGGGATGTGCTCGTCCTTAGCTATACTTGACCACTTCTTCACCAAGTTATCGGAAATCTGTGGACAATGAAAGTATAATTATTAGTGGTTTAGAAAAGAAAAGGAAAAAAAAATAATTGGTCTTTCTAGTGATTGAGACAATATTTCATACAGTTTAAGTGGAATTTTTAGTGAGATGTATTTCAGGGATTTGTTCTTAAAAGTTGATATAATTCAGCTATTGAGTATAATAGTTTCACCTCCCATACAGAATGTATTACATGTGATTTTTAATTTAAGCAACCTCAACACACTTGCCAATTATGCTAAAATTGAATTCACACTAAAAATTCTGCTTATACAGTTCTATCTTAAATTTATCAATCAGAATTGATAGCAAATATTAGTGTTGTAAAATCGGACAAATTTTACTATTGATTATCAAATTGAATCGGAAGAACACAATCGATTATATAATTGATAATTTGAACTATTGAAAAAGGTTAAATTTATTCACCCTGAGAAGTATTTTTAATAGGATATGGATATAATTCGGCGTCAACCTCTTCACCATGCACATTCGCCATTTTGTTTACCGCCAATTAGAGTGACGTCCCATTGGTGAATATAAAAGTTAAACCTGCTCGGCTTGAAAAATATGGCTTGAAAAATATAGAGATCTATCGATGATAATTTTTGCAATCGATTGTCGCCAATCTGGGCCTTCAAACGACGATTTTTCGATAGTCGGCGACTATTGTAACAACACTAGCAAATATTGCCCCTTTATCAGATTTAACACTTTGAATTTTTTCTTATTTTATTTTTAGCACTCTTTTTCTCGTTTTGTCTCCTTGTATAATGTTACAGTTAATACTAAAACACAAATCAAACAGGAAATGAAAGACATTTTGTAAATTAGCAGGAAAGTCCAATAATCATTTCACTCTGCATAAAGGTAATGAAGTAATTACATGAACATAGTTTAAACATGTTAATGAACTTCCTTGTTTGAGTTTTAATAGCTAATTGATTTTTCATAAAGAAAAATGTCCTTAAGTCTCTTTGTGGAGAGTTACTCGTATACTTTTTGCTCAAACACAAACAAGTCTTATGAACTGTGACTATGTCTTAATTGAATTTCTCCCACAATTTGAAAGTTCCTGTTTTGTTAGATATAAAAAAACTTGGCCAAACTTACTTAACCTTGTACATACATTAACCAGAACTCTTTATATCCTTATTAGGAAGAAAGTGAAAAGTTTACTACTAACAGGATTCGTATTATTTCCTTATAACCTAATTTTCCTCATAAACAAGTTCTTTATATCTGAATTCTACTGTAGTGGTAGTGTAGACAACAATTACATTACTAAATTATATATTTCTGTGTTATTAAGAAATTATTTTCTATCTAGCTTCTAATCTAGTAGGAGATTTATTTGGTGAGCAAGCTGGGTGTAAGTTTTCTTACATATGGCATGTATGGCTTGAGCAGAGGTGTAAATAATGTGACATCATAATGCACAGACTCTCTATCACAAAAAGCAATCAACATAACATCATGAATCATTGTATCACATAGTGAATCTTATCCATAGTTTGAAACCCCATTGATTGTACTTAAGTTTACAAAAAAGTTGGTAACATAGGAAATTTATTTAATTTGTTACTCAGGTCATATCAAGGGTGTACAAAGATTTACTCCAAGTTTATTCCATACACCCTGAGGTCCAAGGCTGAAGGCCTATAAGGGTGTATGGAATGCAACCTTGGTACATCAGTCTACACCCTCGATTGGAACTGACTAGTGGTACCTACCTCCTGTATAGCTGGGTAGTAGTGATGTAGGTAATCATGGGCCAGCACAGAATCGTAACACTTTCTCCGTCTTCTACCCTCAGCCTTGTTGGCGTACTGGATGGACTTCTCTCCAATCAGTGGCTTAAAAAGCTCAAATAAGGAAGCTATCAGAAAAAATCCATAAAAAGTCAGAATTCAAATAAATTCCAATACCTCAACAATCTTTTTTCATTTCAAAAATGCTACTCCTACTTGAGAAAAAAATAGTAATTTATGAAACATGGAAGTCCACTCCAAATTCTGCATTTAAATCTACAATAAATAACTAATTAGATTCTTTAATCATATTATTAATGAGATTCTAATGAAAATCTGAGCTAAATGCCAAAGATGATTACCAGTATAAAATATGGTTATATGATAAAGATGTTCTTTAATTCTGAAGGCAAATTCATAATCTGATTAAGATACAGTACATTTTATTGCAAGGTATAAAAATGTCTTTTTTACGACAATTTCTTGCCATAAACCAATCCTTTCATTCTTCCCATTTTTTAAAAAAAAAATTCAAAGACTGATTTCAAATTGATGGAACGCTGATAAATGTTGCTGTAATTATGATATCTGTTTTACGCTTAACTTACGTGGTCGATCAAACACGGCTGCGTGCTGTTTGAAGAGTTCTGGAGAGCAGATACTGATGACGAGTTCCTGTCCCATCCAGAAGGCAGTGATGTCACCGTACTGTTTGTGTAGCTCAAGGAGGTACTCGTGTAAACTCCCAGCGCGGGCAATGTCTGACAGGTTCCCATCCCTATATAGTCACAATGTTACATTACATAATGAAAAATTCATTATAATAAACCTTAATAAAAAAAAATACAATAAATACTTTCTTCTCAAATATCCATGATGATTTTCTTTCATGTAAATTCCAAATAAAACTCAAGTAATTTTAACTATTAATCCTGTAATTCAGTGAGAAGCATGCATCACTCACGAAATAAAATTCTCACTTTTATTTTTATGGTGCTGAATTCCACGTAAATTCTCCTTATCAACCAACCATTTGCAAATAAATATTCTTGCGATTGAATGTTAAAGAGCCATATGGTGATAATAAGTACTCACACAAAATAAGGAATTTACAGCAGTTGTTGTTAAGTTGAACATTTTAAATTTCATAAAAAAAGCTCTGTACGAACAGGACAACTATGACCCCCCCCCCCCAATCCCCACTCAAACCCCATCCCTCCGGACAATTTTTCCAAAGCATGATCATGTTGATACTGAATCTTCTGAGATTCTAGGCTGAAGGATGAAACACTTGGTGTTATACAGGAAGACCCCTTCTTTTTAATTCTAAAAAAATTTATCATCTACAGTTATAGCTTTAAAATGTCCTTGACCTGACCTTGACCTTATAAAAACATTCAGGGCTTATAATATGACCTTGACCTTATCAATTGACAAATTACCTTACATGCAAGGTCAGGACTTTTTATTCATTAATTCTCAACCCAGAGGGTAAATATGATCTAGACCTTTACACTTAACCTCTGAGTAAATAACCTTGACCTTTTGAGAATGATCATGTTGCAGTGTTGCGACAAACCTGATGGTCACATCCAATTTTTATGCTTAGTTTGAATCTTTTTAAAAAATTACAAATTAAATGACCTATTAATCAATGCTAGCTGGCTCAGGAGATGAGAGTCCCTGGCTGAGATTAGCTCATATAAAATTTAAGCCAGTCAAAATATAAAAAGAAATGTCACTTACTCCTTTGTTGTTGGCTCTGGACCTGGTATGCTTGTAACTCTTCTGGATCCCTGAAAAATAAGTAAATTGCACAACTTCATAAAAATCAGTTACACCTTTCATGGAAATCATAAACATAGAATTAATGTATCTTAGTGAAGTCTACTTATGTACCCAGTTTTATTGAAATCAGACCAAAACTGTAAGAGGAGTAGCATTTTGAAAATGAAAGAATTTCACTGTCACAAAAATTTCTATTTTCAGTAACCACAACAACACCCTTCATTGAAATAAAAAAACAATACACATAATTATGTATCTTATGTAGTCTACTTTTGTGCCAAGTTATATTGAAATCATACTAAAACTGTAGGAGGAATAGCGTTTTGAAAGTATTTCACAGATATTGCTATTTTTAGTACTGGCACCACCTAGAAGAGGAAGTTGTCTGCACCCCAAGGCTAGAAAGCTTCAAGTCAGCATCCGCACCCTAGAGCTAGAGAGCTTCAAGTCAGCGTCCGCACCCCAGAGCTAGAGAGCTTCAAGTCAGTGTCAAGTCAGCGTCCGCACCCCAGAGCTAGAGAGCTTCAAGTCAGCGTCCGCACCCCAGAGCTAGAGAGCTTCAAGTCAGTGTCAAGTCAGCGTCCGCACCCCAGAGCTAGAAAGCTTCAAGTCAGTGTCCACAGCCCAGAGCTAGAGAGCTTCAAGTCAGCGTCCGCACCCTAGAGCTAGAGAGCTTCAAGTCAGCGTCAAGTCAGCGTCCGCAACCCAGAGCTAGAGAGCTTCAAGTCAGCATCCGCACCCTAGAGCTAGAGAGCTTCAAGTCAGCGTCAAGTCAGCGTCCGCACCCCAGAGCTAAAAGCTTCAAGTCAGTGTCCACAGCCCAGAGCTAGAGAGCTTCAAGTCAGCGTCAAGTCAGCGTCCGCACCCCAGAGCTAGAGAGCTTCAAGTCAGCGTCCGCAGCCCAGAGCTAGAGAGCTTCAAGTCAGCGTCAAGTCAGCGTCCGCACCCCAGAGCTAGAGAGCTTCATGTCAGCGTAGAAAGCTTCAAGTCAGCGTCCACACCCCAGAGCTAGAGAGCTTCAAGTCAGCGTCAAGTCAGCATCCGCACCCCAGAGCTAGAGAGCTTCAAGTCAGCATCCGCACCCTAGAGCTAGAGAGCTTCAAGTCAGCGTCAAGTCAGCGTCCGCACCCCAGAGCTAGAAAGCTTCAAGTCAGTGTCCACAGCCCAGAGCTAGAGAGCTTCAAGTCAGCGTCAGCACCCCAGAGCTAGAGAGCTTCAAGTCAGCGTCCGCACCCAGAGCTAGAAAGCTTCAAGTCAGCGTCCGCACCCCAGAGCTGGAGAGCTTCAAGTCAGTGTCCACAGCCCAGAGCTAAAGAGCTTCAAGTCAGCATTACAACAACTTCACAACTAAATGCAACTCCCTCTGTCACAACAAAGCCCAAGAGGATCCTGTGACATACAGATACAGACCTAGAACAATTCATTAGATGGTGCCAGTGTATATATTGTGTATTATTAGGTAGAGGATATACGAGGGTTGTCCCAAAAAGTTGTAGACAGGTAAAACAGTTTTGTTTCTATTTGCGAAATTAAACTTTTTTCCTTATCATAGCATAAAGGAACATTTTGTAATTATGCTTTTCAAGTTTCATGATGATATCACATTTATTAAAAAAATTATGAAAAAATAAAGAAAGCATGTAAGTGTACATCGGCGCATGAAAGCAAACGTAATTTACGTCCCTTACAACGTCATGATCTCTTTTTCTGCTTCACACACGTCTGTTAACATACAATAATTTTTTAAAGTAAAAGACCACTCTTGACTAAGGGACATATTTAAAAGTACTACTGTCCGTTTTTTGTTTTTGTTTGTTGTTTTTATAAAGCAGATTCAAATTTCAGTCAAACTCTAGTCGAAAGATCTCCTTACATTGTAGGCAACAGAGAATACATGTTATTTAACGTCGTTCGTGGCCCAGATTGTTCCCCATTGTCTACGTTTAACAAACAGTATACTCTACCTCTTACACGCTGCAACTTTTTTTAAACTCTCATATGAAATTTTGACATATTATTAAGATTTTGATTCGGGTTTCACTGATCTAAATTTGAGTTCATCGTTTTTCGTAGTACTAAATACAAAATAAATGCAAATGTAATAGTTATATACTTAAATTATTCTGAATTTTGTTCGTGCGCCAAGAGACCTTATCAGCCTTCATATAAATCATCCTAATATTATAAATATGAAAGACATACATTTAAGAATTCACAATTTTAAAGAACACTGAATATATATTATGCCTATGCAAAATTTTGTTAGTAGTGGTTGCATGTTTAAAAAGTTATAAACATTGTCTACGACTTTTTGGGACAACCCTCGTATTATTATATTTTTTACTTTAACATGTTCAAGAAAATTAAGTAACATCAGGTGCCTGTGTTTTAATTGGTGAGTTAGCAAGTCTAGTGAAGTACAGGCTGATATGGAGGTGTCAATTATTCCAGTGGGTGCTCTCTAGACTATATCCATTAAAATTCTTGACTGAACTATATCAACTGGAATATGTAATAAAATCTAAAGTGTGTTTATTTATGTCACTACTGCACTGTACTAAGTGAAAAGTGGGCTTTGAAGCTTATGACTTCCTTCTATCACATCGGCATTTAAATATCCCCTTTTAAATGATGAGTAAAGGGGGGGGGGGGGGTTGCATTTCATTAACAGTGATGAATGGTGTTTTTCCAGCACGGCACCTATAAGTAAGCTAATGCTCCTCTGCTGACTCTAGTGTCCGTGTTTCTGCCCCGTTAAACTTCTGACATACCTGTTGACGTTTGTAACGTCAATGTGAGTCAGAGTTGGACAGCTATAAAACGTCGTTTCATCTGTTTACATTTTTCTTGGTTGAGGTAAGATGACATGTTAATAATTTTGTTAAGGTTAACATGGTTCATAAGCAAGAAGCTAGGAAGCAACTATAATCTGAAATCTTTTAAATTCACTATTCACACTTTGATGACATCTGGAATGCTACGCGGAGCACATACCAAATGCACACTTACCAGTCAGGGGCATAACTCAAACAAGTTATTTTCAAAAATAACTCAAATGAGTTATTTTACATTATTTCACACACACAAATTTTTTTTTGAAAAATAACTGAAATAAGTTATTTTTATATCCTATTTGGACATTGATTTCTTGAAAATTTCGTGTTTCCTGCCAATTTGCATTGCATTTTGGGATTCCATTATGTAATACTAGATGGAGTTCACCGACTCCAATGGAGAATTGGTGAGGAGGTGGAGATAAACAGTATTTTACTCCTTATTTCGTGGTTTTATCCACATGGTGTATATGTCCAAATTTAATCATTAAATAAAAAAAATTCCCCACTTTTCCCAAGACTTTGAACACTTTTTCTGCATTGAGCAAGGTTTATATTTAGTCAAACATTTGTTTTTGTCTTGGTGCACGAGCAAAATCCTTTGGTGCACGGGGTGTGAAGTTAGGGAGGAATGACACAAAATAACTTAAATAAGTTATTTATTTATTGAAGCTATTTTGGAAAAATAACGTGTTTGAGTTATTAAGGTTGGGAAAAAGTAGGTCATAGCAAAGAGAAGTAACTCATTGAGACAAAAAAATAACTCATTTGAGTTATTTTTGAAAATAACTTGTTTAAGTTATGCCTCTGACTGCTTACGCAACGTCCCATGTGTATCCCATCATACATAGACAAAACTATGAGTGACAAAATTTACGGCATGTCATAAATATAAAAAAAATCTTACCGGATACAAGTAAATTATGGCTATCAATAAGGCTATAAGAAAAGTCGCTGCAAAAATCACAAAGTCTAACATCTTGTTGATCGACTTGTAACGTGGACGGGGCAGCTCTGTTTTTACTGCGGTAGCGTGTAAAACAAGTTCCCAGTGATGACGCATCGCAATGGAAGAAGAATTAAAGTACTGAAAGTAATCGAAGCAGTAAAACGACGGTCAGTAGATCTAGAGATTGAGATGTACCCTTTTTTCAGATCTGATGTGCATTTCATGTCAAATCTAGGGTATTAAATCAACTTTTGTTTAATGATCAATGTATTGGTAATATCTTTCTTGAATATATACGATTAAATTCCAAATGAATGTATTCTATAAAGTTAACGCCTAATTCGTTTTAAAAACGTTACCCCTATGTAGTAGGTATTCAGCAAGTTCTAATAAAAATGTTAGATGTTCTTTGTGTTGTGTTTGTTTTTAAGTTGCTAGTTTTAATATTTTTTAAAACCCTTTTATTACCTTTTTATTTCCAGGTAAGTTTGAATCTACCTATAGTGAGACTAGTAAATACATTACATTATAAAGAGACAAATGTTTAATAATAATTTTAAAAAGCTCTAATATTTTGTATAGCGAAAAAGCGTGCATGCATATAAAATTTCTGAGGCCAAATGTAGAAGACGATATTTATTATATGAAGGTCAAAGGCAAGAGATTTTAAAGAAGAATAACCAAAAGCTATTTTTCAATTTCAAGCAACTTAAATGAAGGTAATAAAACTTCCAGTGAGATTGATGATTGTATTTTCGAAGAATTGGATAAAGATATAGATATCAATGAAATTGAAACTGCTATCAAAAATTTAAAAAGAGGCAAGTCTCATGGTGATGATTGTATACTCAATGAATACTTTATATTGAATTTGAAGAATATTTTTTGCAAACTTTGCATAAACTTTTTAATTGTATTTTACATACAGTTTTTTTCCCCGAATTTTGGTCAATTTCTGTTATTGAGCCTGTGTTGAAATAGGGAGATAACTCAGATCCTAACAATTATAGAGGAACTAGCTTGGTCAGTAGCCTATGTTACATGTAACTTTTCACCTCTGTTCTAAACAATAGACTTATTTATTACACACTTAGTAATAAATACATGTTTTTTGCATATACGATATGGCTGACGTCACAATAGCAGTATCAGCCCTGGGGGGCTGATATGGATTTGCAGGGCTGATAACCTATATCAGACCCGCAAATCCATATCAAACCTGCAGCTATTGTGACGTCAATATCACGCCCTTAGTAAATTAAACCACAAAAACAGTACTTGTGATCATACACAATTTTTGTTGGGTTCATATTGAATTTCTCTTAATTTTAACTTTTTAAAATAAGGTTAATCTTAATATACAAATACATGTAATAGATTATTTTCAAATTACGGACCGATCGAGTTCATCGAAATAAAATTAGAAACAAACTCAAATCGTATGAGACAATAGACCATGTACAATCTACATGTATGTAAGAAGTCAATGCATGGTTATTTACTAATTTTCTTTTCAACTTATTGTATTTTGTATTTTATTACTAAGTATATAATAAACATAATAATACATTCCCTTTTCCACATCACATCCTGTATCAGCCCTCGACCAATATCAGCCCTCGGGACTTCGGCCCTCTGGCTGATATTGGTGTCTCGGGCTGATACAGGATGTGATATGGAAAAGGGTATGTATTATTCTCTATTTCATGGTCAGAATGTAATGATATTGTCACTGATGCTCAGTTCGGTTTTAAACCAAAATGTGGAACTAGTGATGCTATTTTTGCTCTGTATTCTTTACTCACTACATGTATTTCTTTTTCAAAGAATAAAAATCTTTATTGTGCCTTTATTGATTTTAATAAAGCTTTCGATTCTGTTGATCGATCCAAACTTTGGTTGAAATTGTCCAAAATTGGTATTCAAGGCAAGCTTATACGTGTGTTAAAAGGATTGTATAAAAATGTTAAAGCATGTGTAACTTCTGAAGGTTTGTTGAGTGCCATTTTTAGTAGCAACCTCGGTTTAATGCAAGGCGAAGTACTTTCACCCATTTTATTCAACATGTATGTAAATGACTTTGAAATGCACTTTTTAAATTATGGATGTGTACCATATGAAAGATCATCATTGATCCTTTTTCTCCTTATATTTATGCAGACGATATGGTGCTCTTTTCTGAAGCAGTTTCTGGTCTGCAATTGCTGTTTGATCAATTATCAAACTATTGTGAAACATGGAAATTACAAATTAATGTGGACAAATCAAAGATTGTTGCCTTTAGAAAAGGGGGATTAGTGAAAGAATATGAAAATTGGTAGATAAATGGTGAAACACTTGAAATTGTTGATCACTTTACATACTTGGGCTTTGTTTGATTGCATTGTGGCCAGTATCTTAAACTATGTGCAGATGTTTGGGGTTCACATAAATCACCTAATGTTGAAAAACTACATTTTGATTTTTGTAAACATATTTAAGAAGTTAAAAGGTCAAAATGTAATGTTAGTGTACATTCTGAATTAGTACGATATCCTATGCTTCACCACAGAATGTTTAATATAATCAAGTTTTGGAAGAAAATTCTTGACCAAAAAAAATTGTATCATACAACATTGTTATAGTGTTTTATATAAGTGTGTAGAAATGCATAATGCAAAAAACTGGTTGTCAAATGTTAAAATCTTTCTATGCAATTTAGGTATGTTTGAATCATGGGGAAAAAAAAGTTGAATGTGTAGAAGGATATGGAGATAACGAACAGTACTAGTATTCAAACTCAAAGTCCATTAAACAAAATAAGAGCAAAGCAAACACGGACCTCCGAAACATCAGAGGTGGGATCAGGTGTCATGGATCGTAAAGCAAAGAATTTTAGACAAGACAGAATATTTTTTTCTCAAATAGATAGGTCTAGGAAATGTTCTTTTTACAGATATTTAATTGCAAACCATAATTTACAATTTTACTTATGGAAATCCATACAAATAAAATAATACAGAACAACACCGTAGATATTGTTAGCTCACCTGAGCTGAAAGCTCAAGTGAGCTTTTCTGATCACCCGTTTTCCGTCGTCTGTCTGTCTGTCCGTCCGTCCGTCAGTCTGTGAACTTTTCACATTTTCAACTTCTTCTCAAAAACCACTGGGCCAATTTTAACCAAACTTGGTACAAAGCATGCTTAGGTAAAGGGAAATTTAAATTGTTTAAATCAAGGCCCAAGACCCCTTCCAAGGGGAGATAATCAAGAAAATACAAAAATAGGGTGGGATCATTAAAAAATCTTCTTCTCAAGAACCACTGGGCCAGAAAAACTGAAACTTATATGAAAGCATCCTGGGGTAGTGTAGATTCTAAATTGTTCAAATCATGACCCCCGAGGGTAGGGCGGGGTCACAATAGGGAATCCAAGTTTTACATAGAAATATATAGGAAAAAAATTTAAAAATCTTCTTCTCAAGAACCACTGGGCCATGAAAGCTGAAACTTATGTGGAAGCATCCTTGGGTAGTGAAGATATCAAATTGCTAAAATCATGACCCCCAGAGTAGGGCGGGGTCACAATAGGGAATCCAAGTTTTACATAGAAATATATAGGAAAAAACTTTAAAAATCTTCTTCTCAAGAACCACTGGACCAGAAAAGCTGAATCTTATATGAAAGCATCCTGGGGTAGTGTAGATTCTAAATTGAACAAATCATGACCCCCGGGGTAGGGTGGGGCCACAATAGGGAATCCAAGTTTTACATAGAAATCTATATGAAAAAACTTTAAAAATCTTCTTCTCAAGAACCACTGGGCCAGAAAAGCTGAAACTTATGTGGAAGCATCCTGGGGTAGTGTAGATTCTAAATTGAACAAATCATGACCCCCCGGGGTAGGGTGGGGCCACAATAGGGAATCCAAGTTTTACAAAGAAATAAAAAGGGGAAAAAAATTTAAAATCTTCTTCTCAAGAAGCACTGGGCCAGAAAAGCTGAAACTTATGTGGAAGGATCTTGGGGTAGTGTAGATTATAAATTGTCCAAATCATGACCCCTGGTGGTAGGGCGTGGTCACAATTTGTATTACAAAGGGGTGGAGGGGATCTGTTAAAGAACAGCATGGCCAAAGTTTCTCAGGTGAGCGACGTGGCCCATGGGCCTCTTGTTTTTTTGTGTTCAAACCATGTTGAGGATGAATTTCACTTTATTTTAATCTGTTCTGATTATCAAATACACCGTAAAAAATACTTTAAGTCTTATTATTGGAAAACCTTTTATGTTTAAATTGTTGCAATTTTTAAATGTTGAAAATGTAAAAGAACTTAGGTAAATTTATTTACTTTAGCCTAAATACTAGAAAAGACATGTTAAATTAATTATCTATGTCATAATTATTTATGTCATACATATATGTATCATATGTACATAATTATCATATTCTCCTGTAAATCTGTACAGTCATGTTTGTATTTGTTTGTACTGATGAGCTATAAAGCTCTCAGTCAATAAAGAAATTGAACTTGTATAAATTGTATGAAAAATATCAAACAAAATGATAATGATCCCGGAGAAGGAATGTTGCTTTTGAGGAAAATATGTAAGTAAATGAGAAAAATAGAGGATTTAAAATTAGAATTGAGTAAGGTAATACAGTTGTATAGGGTGAGGCAACTCCTACATGAAATAATTTAACTTAAGGTACATGTAGAATTCTTCTCTGGTTTCTGACAGAAATATTCAAGGTTTATTTGCATATATTTCATATATACATGTATTAAGGTGTAAGAAATTTAAAAGACCATATTGTTCTTTCCCCATCGCCATTGTACAACTTCAAATAGAAATGGTAAACTGAGTTTGAAAACAAGCAGGGGCTATATTTTTGACGGAGTGGTGACTTATGAAAATATCTTTAATACTTCTCTGTCTCTCAAAATTATTATCTATATATCAATAGATTTAGTCATATTTTTACACAATTTAGAGAAATGTTTGAGCCAAACATCTTAAAATATTTACATTTGCATGCTCTACGTATGAACAATTTCTTAAACGAGATAAATTATTGACAAGCAAGTTGATGAAACAAGAATATCAGCAGTCTCGTTGAAAGTAATCATTTTGTAAGTTCTATGGTCGATACAATGACCTTGTCAGCAAATACAATTTATCATTGAGTCAAATGCTGACTTACGTTTTTCATACCAATTGTTAGTCCATTATTTAGACACTGAATTGACGACGGATTTTTTTCCCCGTTATTTCCTGATCATGACAACGAGCATACGGCGGGTGTAACCGGTCGGCAGGGGATGCTCACTCCTCCATGGCACCTGATCCCACCTCTGATGGGCCAGAGGTCCGTATTTGCTCTGCTCTTATTTTGCATATTGTTTAATGGACTTTGAGATTGAATACTGTTCGTTATCTCTATATCCTTCCTGCAAATGTTTGCCCTAATATAACACTATTTAAACAAGCGTTTTTATTTCTGTGTAAAATCAAACACGTTCGTCATGTGACCATAAATTGATTGTTTTGTCATAAGCAATCTACGTATTTTCATAGTGACGTCATAAGTGATCGGCGTGTTCAACAATTTTTAATTTTCCATTGATCAAGAGTTTTGAAAAAATAAATCCTTTATGGATTTAAAACTTAAATACCTTTCTATCTGTAATAAAACAGTCACAAATGTAAATTTAAGTAATTAGGTATCATTTTTTGAGTTTTATTGGGATGTAAATAATGGGATGTGGCGTCGGTAGTCTAATGGTTAAGGTGTCTGACTCCAGACCGAAAGGTTGTGAGTTCGAATCCTGGCCGCGGCAAGTCGACCTTGTGTCCTTGGGAAAGGCACTTTACACGAATTTCCTCACTCCACTCAAGTGTAAAAGGGGTACTTAGCTATAGACAGTGAAAGATATTATCAGAATGTTAGTGTTCTAGCGCATTAACGCCAGTTAACGGCAGCTTGCACTGAAAAAGATTCTGGATTGTTATGGTCTGCTGGGGTAATAATGATTGTAAAGCGCTTTGAGTAGCATTTATGAGTAATCATTATTATGTAAACGGGTTGGCACATGATCTCATCTCCATAAAGTCCGAAGGGCTTTATGGAAGATCGGCCTCAATGGAAGATTTGATCATGTGCCAACCCGTTTTACATCCCAACAAACTTCAACAAAATGTTACCCTATTTCTTTAAAAAGAATGTTTTTCTCTTTTGGTAAACGAACAAAACCTTATTGTTTCGTTTTTGCAGAATTTTATATCTCTATGTGGCAACTTTACTTTATGCTAAAATAAAAACAATGAATATAGGAATTTAAAAAGCTAGCAAATAAAGATAAAGAAAATTCTATTTAGCCATTTGAGTTAAACTATTTATGTCAATTTGAAACTATCGTTTTATAGGCCCTATATAGTAGTGCTATCTTTTTATGCAAATAAAAAAAACTTTCAATCTTCTGAAATACAAGTACGGATCGCATGATTGGCAACAGTCATCTTATATATTAAAAATATGAAATATAAAGTGTGGTGTTGGTGGGGGGGGGGGGGGGGAGGGAGGGGGGGGGTCTTGGATGTAAATTTTTAAATGTAACTAAAATAATGCTGATTTAATTTTAAGCATAAATTGGGCTACTTTTTTTTCAAGGACTTTCATATATATTTGGTATAATTTACCAAATTTCATGATAGAATTTATGAAAGTTAATTTATTATATAATTTAGGACCAGTATTAAAATATTTCAGTGCACAAAGATACTCCATGTGCAGACTGAATGTAAAAATAGAAATCAAAACTTATAAAACTTTTCAATACTGAATACGTCAAAAGACGCTCTTCTATAAAAACCTTCCGCCATAAAATATAGTTCCTCACTTAAAGTTTTTGGTATTGAATTTCATCATGTGGATTTAATCAAATATAGTTTAATTAATGTTATACATGTAACATCCAATTAATTGTAAGAGGTAAAACATTATGTAGAGTTTCTAAAATAGAGGTCAAGACAAACATCTGTTGAAAAGCTGAGGAACTAACCTCGTTAATATTTTGTGAATATATATTTCCTTTGCTGTCTAAGGGGGAGGTCACATACATTGGCTCAGTCCTTGGATTCCCCTTCAGCAGCACTACTATGGTGACAGAAACCTCTAGTAAGGGGGATTATATTTATTTTTTCTTATAAAGATATAATTCATTTCATACATTGGGATTTTCATACATAGAGATTACATGAACAGCATTATAGATATACATATAATACGTATTAACATACACATATACATACCATGACAATTCACAATTATTTTATCAACTTTCCAATTTATATTAAGTGTATTTTTAAAGAAAAGAAATTACGTATAGTTACTACATACTTAATATTTTATATGATGTACAATATAATATATATATTATATGTAAATAGTCAACTTCCCTTACTTATGCAGCAGGATATCTTCGTCACCTGAATACGGGGTTTATATATGATGGTTATGCATGAACATGCCATACGCATTAATAATTTCTAAGACGAATTAAAATATTAACAAACAAGCTGATAAAACAAGAATGTCTCTAGTTTCATTTAACGTCATCATTTCGCAAGTTTTTTTGGTCGAAACAATGACCTTGCCAGCAAATACAATTTATCATTGAGTCAAATTTTGACTGACGCTTTTTTACTTATTCTTAGCCCTTTATTTATACACTGAATTGACGACGGAGTTTATGTTATTTCCCGACTATGACAAGGAACCCATTGCGGGTGTTACCTGTACGGAGGGGATGCTCACCTCAACTTTTACGATCTTTGTAGCCGTATATCATTAGGTACATAGTTTTATAGTAACGGGGTACGGAATGATGACTTGTTGCCACCCGGGTATAAAATTTACTGACCAGGTATCATTCCGTACCCCGTTACTACAAAACTATCTAAATATATAATTTAAACCACAGATGAAAAATTCATGCATTGTCTATGGCTTGTATTTTTTTCTCTCTCCTCTATATGCTTCATGAGACATACCATGCCTATCATATTTGACGTCAAGTTGTGCTACATGTACCTGATGTTGTTTTGTGAATTGACTTTTGTGCTAAAGAATAGAATACTGATAGTGTTGAAGACTTTCAGTAAAGAAAAAAAAATCGTCCTCTCCTTATTCACGCTATTAAGTTTTTACTTGTCAACTGAATACACTCGGCAAACATCGATTGATTGATTGATTTTATATTGTTTAACATCTCTCTTGAAAATTTTTAACTCATATAGAGACGTCACCACTTGCCGGTGGAGAGCTGAAAATTTTGTCCAGTACTGAGCACTAAGGACCAATGAGCAGGAAGGGATCTTTTTGGTATCAGCACCTACTTTATGACCTTGATTTATACGGTTTTATCTGAAGGACCGGTCTCCAAGTCCCACAGAGGCCTTACATTGCGTCTCTAAAGCAGACGCTCTAATCACTGCGATACGCCGGCGACGCAAATATCGATTCTTCGACGTGTTTCAAAAGAGAAATAACTCCGTATCGACTTTGTATTTATTTTTAGATATAAGTAATAAACTCCTGCTGCTTCACGTGACAGACTTTTACCAATCGTAAGCACGTATTTTGTCGAAAAATTAGCAGAGGTGGGATACCTTTTTTTCTTATTGTCAACGTGTCATGTGACAAACAGCTGATGCAAGGTCAAGTAGTTTTGGCTAAAGACAGAAGAGACATACCGGTAAATATTCAGAAAGATGGATCTTTATTCATTCAAATTAATGCTGTTTAAAATCATATCGAACCCTTTATCAATTTTCTAAGACTATTATAAGACGTGTTTCCTATGAGCGCCCTTAACTAACCCGGGTACCAACAATGAATATGTAAGTCTTTGAAGTGTTAATAATACATGTACACATGTAGCTTAATAGATCAGTGATTATATCTCATTACAAATAAATATAGTCTTTGAAAAAAGTAGTCAAATGAGCTTGCAGATAAACTTTTAACTTGGGTTCGGATTCCCTCTACTAGTTTCTAATTGAATTTGCATTCTCAAAATTTCAACTTCTGTTTTCAAATTCCCGATTTCTCTTTTAAAATTCCTACTATCTGACTGAACTCGTCTCCTCAAATTTTTAACTGTATTTTTCAAACTCCCGATTTCTGCCTCTAAATTAATTTGTGATGTATTAGAATTATGTTGAGCATTTGAAGGATTATCCGACGCTCTAGATGTGTTTTTATCAACATTTAAAGGACATGGCTTTAAACTTTCGGTTTTACAGCAATCAAAAGATCGTAAAATTCTGACCATTGGTGTAACCAGACACGACCCTTTGGTAGTTGAACCTATAGCCATCCCAAGGCAGCTCAATGTTTTGTCTTGATTGATACAAAACACAAAGGATCCTGAATCGCCAGGTTTAAAAAAAGTTCCATGGGGAAGGCTTTGAATTTCAATCTGATGATACATCACAGATTGTGTTTTGTCTGGTAAATCTCCATTTTCGCTCACAAAGTTGATATGCACTTCATTGGGGTAAAGATTACCAATCGTAAATCCTGTTGTACTTCCGTACTTTACGACACTGCCAAGTTTACGTGGAATTTTGCTTTGCAGAAGATCTTCATCTAGCACAGCCTTCCCATTGAATACAGGTGGTTTATTTGGGTCAAATCCTGGAATTAAATTATAGACAGTTCTTCATATTGTATATTTTAGTTTTCTGATACATAACTTCCTAACACAAGTTGAAAAACTTGTACATGTACTTCATTTAAGCTAGGCCTAATGACAGCTTCTATATATATAGGTGCTTGATGATTGATTAATGGTCGTCGTCTTTAAGTTACCAATTAGTACCTTTAAACTATCTTGACATCATCATGAAGTTATCACCTAACCACCTCAAAGTCCTAAATGGGTGATTTATGGTGCTAAAAGGTAGCTTCAATGTGGCTTTTTGGTATTAAATGGTGGTACCAAAACAATCTTGACATCATAATTAGGCTATCATTTATCCATCATCAAGTCAATACAAAGCAATCGATAAAGATGCATTTCACGTAAAATGTAATTTTTCAATGTCTTGTGAATTATAATTGAGGAATTTACACATTTGACAATTTAGAGAATAAAATGTTCAAAGAAAGAAAAAAGTAGAATTAAACGATTTAAATTTCCCTTCAGCCAAGAATGCTTCGTACCAAGTTTGGTTAAAATTGGCCCAGTGGTTCTTGAGAAGAAATCAAAAATCTGAAAAGTTAACAAACAGCTAGATAGACAGAAGGACGACGGAAAGAAAAGCTGACTTGAGCATTCGGCTCAGGTGAGCTAAAAAAGCGTTGAATTAGTTTATAAATCAGTTTTGAAATATATATATTTTCTTATCACCTTACAATATTTTGCATTATAACAATAGAGAGGTTGAGATTTCAAACGAGTACGTCTAGTAGGGGTATAACCTAAATTTTGTGGGCATTACGTCATCAATTTTAGTGACGTCAAGATTTCTACACGTTCTTAGAACTGCAGAATGACATCTACACGTAACACCCATTCTCAATATCAGGGCTCAAATAATGTCGCCTCATTTTCATTTAGAAGAAATACCACTGATGTAATTTTCAAATCAACATTATTATAGTCATATAACAATGAATAAGAATTCATACAATCATCGATCTGAAAGGGTATTTAAGGAGCTCCAAATTCAATTGATGGGCTAAATTTGAAATTTCAAAGGATTATTAACTCATACTTAAATAATGTAACATGAAATTGCACAATTTGAGCATTTTTTTTATAAATATGTTTACGGAATGAAAGACATTTTCAATCGTAGAGATAAGAAAGAAATGTACGTTACACTATATTCTTCCATTAAGAATATATATCAAGTAGAAAATATGAGACGACTCTGAGTAAGCAACCCCTTGTACCCTGTAAACTGGCAAAGACGTTTTGCTTAACACAATTAAAAACAATTAAAAATTATTTTTTACATGAAAAGTGGTCATTCGAAATGTACGTGACTGAAATGTACGTTACCATGAAATTCGAATTAAATGAATCTCGCAAGATTTTTCATGTATTCTCATACTTTCACACACTCGAATGTGCACACAAAAGAAAGTTTCAAAAGGTGGAGGTCGGCTAAATCCAAAAATTAATGAAAAGAAATGTTTTTTGCTGAGGAAAAAATTATATTAAGGTCATTTATATGTAATATATTTTTGATACCTGATATATATTTCTGAATATGAAACCTGTATGGAGCATTTCTTATGTTATTCAAGTTCAAATAGTTTCAATATATTGCGTGTCTAAGAGAATTGATTTTTATATTTGAAATGCACGTTACGTATGGTAACGTATATTTCGCGTATTTCTGAATGACATTTTTTAAATTTAGTCATTGAATTGAGTTAACACGAGCAAACCAAAATTATCGTTACAATTTAATTGACAACTGACCACATAAAGCCATCTAAATGCACCCCAATCCTCGTAAATGTGGTAGACTGTTACCACATGCTAGAAAATTTATTTCTAAGCGTCTTAAATTCATCTTTAGCAACCTTTTTGCAGTTTTTTTACTTTTAATATGCGACTTTTCGTCAATAAATAATTATTTAATTGTTGTTGATAATTTAAAACAAGGTATGCATAGGCTTATAATTAGACTCCCCAATAATATGTGAAATGTACGTTACCGAAGTGACGTGACATTTATGTAGTTTGTGAGAAATAACCTCGTTTGTTACATTATGATTTCTTATATTACTGCGTTAAAAGGCTTCATTGAAATGATTTTCTTGTCAATAATTGCTTTTTTCCAAGATTTACTTACATATTATTTCAAGTTTGAAATGTACGTTACCTTCTCATATTCTGAGACAATCGTGTCTTTATAGTGGTGATTGTGACATATACATGTAACGCAATGTTATTACATAGAGAATCTATTTTGGAATAAACTGAAACAAAACGATGAATTTTTAGATGTTTTTTAAGCTTTTTATCAAACAGAAATAAATAATGAAATGTACGTTATATTTACGTAGATTTCTAAATCGGCATTGATATATGTTAAAAAAGACAGTTACTACAAAATAGAATTTTACTACATGTACATATTAATTAAGTTCCAGTATCTGAAAATGACAAGATTCTAAACTGATCGTTCTAAACAAAACAGAGAGAAGAATTTAAAGCATGTGTTAAAAAAAATGTTTTTATACATCTGGATCTAAAAGTAACCTTTGTTTTTTGAAAGGAAAAATCAAACACACGTTCGTATGCTGAGAAAATATATTGCTGACGAGTTGGTAGGATATGCTGGTGTTCAGATGAGATATTCCAATTGTTATTTTTAATGACTACATTTTTTCTGTAGACCTTTTTGGACATCGCCGAAAGAGTTACGTACATTTTCAGCTACATTTTTGAATAAAATCACATCCTACTCCACCGTCTTGTCATTATTCAATGTATTAAAATTTGATGAAAAAACTTGTACAAAATCTTTAGATACTTTCTTACAAAGGTAATTGATAGAAAAATTGTTATCTTGAACTTCTTTTTTTAACAATCAAAGAGGCATTTGTGCCCTTATATTGAGAATGGGTGGTAAGTGAAAACGTGTAGCTTTAAAAATAAAAATTGGCCAATTTATTGGTGAAAATGTAGTATTTATATATTATTTAAGATGTTTCATGTGCACTTATTTAAATCGTGTTTTGTTAGCTACATCAATTCAAACTGACATAACAATTTGTTTCAGAGTGTTCCGATCGCGGTGTACAAGTACATGTTACACGTCATAAAAATCTCAACAGACAAATTACAAAAAGTGTACGTGTACGTCAAAATTGACTCACAAGTACACATACACGTACACATTTAAAATCTCAACCTCTCTTTTGTGCGAATATGTGCGAAAACCATGAGAGTTTAAAAAAAGCGTTGAGTTTTATAAATGTTAGCCCTTAGCCTAAGGATACCCTGGGACAAATTTGACAATTATCGGCCTGGTGATTCTTGAGTTAAGGCCCATATTCTACAAAGTTTACGCACATCGCACACATGGCCATAACATTAAATCTTAGAGCCTTTGGCTCAGAAGAGCTAAAAAATTGTACTTTTCCCGCAATTATACTCAATATTTGAACATATAATGCGTAGAACAATAAAATGTGATGTTCTGTTCTTTTTATTAATGTTCTTCTTTTGTAATTTGCAGAATCAAATGCTTGTTTCCCAGCCTCGCCCGATACATGTTTCAAGTATATATCTACAGTATCTTAAATATCATATTGCTGTTCAGTGTCGATTGGAATGACTTGCATGAACGCACCAAAAGCGATTCCTAATTTTTAAATACCGGACAAAGAGCGACGACAATGCAAACCTGGTCTTCGCTTTTAGGGTTAGGTTCTGTGCAGTTAGTACTGTAAGAAATCTCATTTGAACTTTTGGTTCAGGTCAGATAAACAGTAAAGATAATGGACAGTGATCATAATCTTATATGTTGATCTTGTAAACAATTACAAATCATGAACAGGGTGAAAAACATGAACTCTTCAATTTAACACCAAAATTCAAGGCCAATATTATACAGAAAATATGGTGAGAGCATACCTGCTGTTAACAGCTGTTCAGCTGATGTTGCACGAAATTGAAAATCGCTCACAGTTGGGTCCAGTTGTATCAGAGCAGCGTCAACTAAAGCTGAAAAACATGCATCAACAATTCTACCACAAACTTTAAATTCATGTTGGTTTTTATCAAACACCTCTACTTCAAAATCAGTGTCTTTATCTAATATATGTATTAATTCATTTCTAGGTATTTTCAGTTCATCAGATGAAAATACAACATGGGCACACGTTATTAATCCAGCTGTATGTCTATTAGGATTTTGGGGGTCATTTGTCAAATCAACAAAACCCCCAATGCTTCCACATCCAGGCGTGTTCATTCCTCTGGCACGACGAATATGTCCCCCGGCGTCTACTGATCTACCTCTTCCCAAAGAACAGTAGCCCTCCTGTATGTCTACTTCAAAACCATGAATTTCTTTTGGGAACTCTCTTTCTCCCAAAGGAATATATCCTTTATGTAAACATAGAAGACTAATACATTGTTTTTGGACAACTCTGTGCTTTCCTCTTGAATACCCTGTTGATTTAAATGGGGATGTGGATATCTGAGTAAGGTTTGAATGCTCCTTAAAAAGTTTTCTTGCATCTTTTTCTGCAATAATTGGCATTTGTTGTGATAAACAAGAAGCCTGAAAAGAGTTGAAGACAGTTGATGCTTCCTCAGACGGTTCTGTATAATTATAGAATACGAGTTTAAGTCCCATTGCACTGTTTGGTAATCCGTCTTTCATGTCTATGCTATCTTTGTATGACACCATCATCACAAGCCTTTTTTCCTTCCTGCATTCATAACAGAATGATAGTTTGATTGAATTTTGTGGAAGTCTTGGACATTCTCTTAATATCATAAACTTTGCTGCTGTTAAGAACGTGTCTATAACTACGAAATTTACTTTCTTGCCTCTGAATAGTTTATCCAAATGAAAATCAAATTGAAAAATATATGATCTCACAAGCTCTACAAGAAATATGTGGTTTTGGTTTTCAATTGCGTAATCGAGGCATTTATGAATGATCAATGAAAGGTGTCTTGGGTTAAATTTTAAAAGTGTTTCTTTTGTACATGCAGAGAATAAAATAGATAAAATTAGTCGACATTTTGGAGATCGTGTCTTTCTGAAGACTTTATCAAAGACTGCCATCCATCCTAGAAAATCATCAACGCTTGATTGGGAGAATGGTTTAAAACTTGTCTTTTTTTCAGCCGTGCTGAAATGAAGACCCGAACAGTCGAGGTAATCTACTCTCTGAATGATTTCCTCATATCCAGTGCTTTCCACGTGATATCCTTGATATGACCGATGAGATGTCTCAATATTAAGATACTTAATTAGTCTTTGGATTCGTATTTCAAACTCTCCGTTTTCTTTGAGCTGTTCCAGCTTTTCGTTGAATTTTATCACAGACCTAAAGGAAGTCCTCTCTACAATAAAACGATTTAAAAGGACATCAATGGCTTTTAAAATACTACATATGTTTGAGTAATCATTTGGAATGATCTAGATATAATTTAGTTCATATCTTTAATTTCATAAGCTTGAACGTTTTTCGAAAAATGAGAATTATATATTCAAAAAGCTTTTCATTTTATTTGGATGTTTTTCCACCAAATAATATAAACATACCGTATAAGTGAGAATTTCAGCGAGACTCAATTTTAGCTATTAGTGCTTAAAATATTTAATATTTTTTAGCAGGATATTATTTGAGCGATTTTAAAGTTCACACTAAAGAATCTTTTACAAATTAAACACAGTTTTTTCTAGCGATATTCAATTTTAACGATCTCAGAACCCTCACTCATTATACCAAATTAAATCCTAAAAATGCACCATAAGCAAAATATGATTTAAAAAGTGATTTATTAAGCTTAAAAAGCATTTTCTATGTCTTATTTGAACTCATATTTTGTTTACAAAACTTGCAGTGATACCGTTCGTGTTTGACGACACCCCCTACTTTCAATCATTTGTTTACAAATTGTATTTTCTAAGTTTCCTCCTTAATACGGTAAAATAATCCATGTAATACAGAAACGTCGAAATTTTATGATCGAACACAACTTGCCCTATCGTAATGTAATTTCTCGGGACCAGTGATTGCACCCAAATAAAGTTTAAAATGAAAAAGAAATAAGTAGATGAGTACAAGAGGCCCATGGGCCTTATAGGTCACCTGAGTATCATGAGACAACTTTCCAACAATTGAATTTGTTTAAAACTAGAGGCCATGAAATTTTGAAAGAGGCACCATTGCTAATCATAATTATACACTCAGCATGCTTATTTTGGTTACTTAAAACCCAGAGGTAGATCAGAGTAACAAAGAGAAAATGCATTTTTACTTTTAGTGAATTTCAGGGCCCCTGGATCAGGGCTTCTTCTGTTAGTACGGGTCCACAGTTGAGCTCCCCATCCCATAGGAACCACTGACCCTGGGACCAATTTTTAAAAATTTTATTTCATCATGCTGTTGATTAATACCAAAGTGCAGACTTCAAAGCATTAAATTATTTCAGAATATGTTAACCCCCCCCCCCCAAGTACCTCTGTCCCAGGGGACAGGAAATATACCATTTTTGGAAGAAGCAGGTTTTTTTTCATAAATATATTTTAGGATCATTGTCATCCAACCCAATAACAATGGAAAAGATTTCCAAAGAATTCAAGCATTTTCAATATATAAACATTAGAGCCCCCACCCCACCCCCACCCCCCAACACAAGAATCTCTAACCCAGGGACCCTGAAATTCAAAAATTTCAAAGAGGCGTCCTTCCTCCTCATACTTATGTACAAAGTTCATTGGTTAAATATACAGGTGCAGAAAAGAAGAGTTTTAAAGGATTTATGCATTTTCACTATATATTCAATAAAACCCCGCTCTAAGACCAGAACCCCCAACCCAGGGGCCATGAAATTCACAATTTTGGAAGAGGTAGCCTTATTCAACAAAATTATGTACTTGGTTAGTTTATTTAATACTCAGGAGCAAAGAAGAAGATTTTCAAAGAAATAATTCATTTTTTACTATATAATCTACATGTGTATATTGCCCCGCCTCAGCACTAGAACCCCTGACCCTGGGACCATGAAATTCACAATTTTGGAAGATGCAGCTTTATTCAACATAGCCATGCACTTGTTTAGTTTATTTAATGCCCATGAACAGAGAAGAAGAATTTCAAAGAATTTATGCATTTTCACTATATAATCTATATAGCTCCGCCCTAGCACTAGAACCCCCGAACCTGGGGCCATGAAATTCATAATTTTGGAAAGGGCGATCATTTTCGACTTACCTATGCACTTGGTAAGTTTATTTAATGCCAACAAACAGAAAAGAAGAATTTCAAAGAAATTTTTCATTTTCACTATATAACCTGTTTAGACCCGCCCTAGCACTAGAACTACTGATCCTGGGGCCATGAATTTCATAATTTTGGTAGAGGACGCAATGCTGATTACAATCATACCAACTGTTTAACTTCTTGATGTCCAGGAGTAGAGAAGAAGATTTTTAAAGATTGCACTAATTTTAGTGGTTTTTGCCCCACCCCCCAGGCCCCAGGAAGGCAGGGACCATGAAATTCACAAATTTTGTTCCCCTTCACCCATAGATTCTATATGCCAAATTTATTTGAAATTGGTCCAGTGGTTTCAGAGAAGAAGCTAAAAATGTTCAAATGTTAACGCACGACGCACGACTCAGGTGACCTAGAGATAGAATGGATAGTTCTTATATGAGGTTCTAATTTATAATTGCTCATATCAATTTTTTGACATTAACGTATGTCAAGCGTCAATGATTAAACGTTTACGTACTACCTGTAGTGTGTGCTGTGTTCAATAGCGAATAAGGTTCCTCTTTACAGCTTGAAACAAGAAAAATCACGCTCTTTATAAATATGTGCACGTGAGTGCTTTGAATCGTATCTTCTGTCTTGAGATAGAGAGAGAGAGCTAGAGAGATTTTATATTAAAATGAAAGAACAAGTGAGCAAGCTCATATACCCCAAGCTCCCCTAAAAGTGATGTAATTCCCGAAAATATGTACATCTGCACAATTGGTCCTAAATGTCTACGAAGTTTGACGAAATTGTGTGCAGCAGTTTATAAGAAGATGTGCTGACAAACTGTTCATCTCTATATCCAAAATATAATAAAAAAATCTAAGTTGAAAAATTGTCAAAAGTCTTGGAAATATAAAGTAATCGGAATTTCTTAGTAATATGCATATGCATATCAACACAATATGTCCCAAATAGCTGCAAAGTTAGACGAAATTGTGTACAGCAGTTTATGAGAAGCTGTGCTCACAATCTATCCATCTCTATATTCAAGAAATGGCCAAAAAATCTAAGTTGAAAAGTGCGGAAATTCCCGGAAAAAATATAAGAATCGAGATTTCCTGGTTATATGCACATCTACACATTGTGCTAAACATCTGCAGAGTTTGACAAAATTGTGTGCAGCTGTTCACGAGGAATTGCGTTTACAAACTGTTCATCTCTATATTTAAGTTGAAAAGTGTCTATTTTTCCGGGAAAATTAAGGAATCTAAATTTCCTGGTGATATGCACATCTACACTATGTGTCCAAAATATCTGCAAAGTTTGACAAAATTGTGCGCAAAGGTTTATGAGAAGTTGCGCTAACAAACTTTTCATCTCTATATCCAAGTTATGGCCAAAAATATAAGCTGAAAAGTGTCGAAATTTTCGAAAAAAATAAAGGAATCGTAATTTCCTTATAATATGCGCATCTACACATTATGTCCTTAATGTCTGGAAATATAACGAAATTGTGTGCAGAGATTTATGAGGAGTAGTGCTGAAAGAAACGGTACCGACCTTCTGACTGATGGACGGGTCGAAAACGTTATACCTTACGCAAATCTATACATTGTGTCTTAAATGTCTGCAAAGTTTGACAATTTTTTGTGCAGCGGTGTATGAGGAGTTGCACTGACAAACTGTTCATCTCTTTATTCAAGATATAGCCAAAAATCTAAGTTGAAAAGTGTCCTCTGCAAAGTTTGACGAAATTGTGTGCAGCGGTTTATGAGGAGTTGCACTGACAAACTATTCATCTCTCTTCAAGATATGGTAAAAAAATCTAAATTGACTAGTACATGTGTCAATCTACCTACGGAAGGGGTGAGCTAAAAACTTGTTGCATTCAAAGAGAGCTGGATCAATCTTTTTCTTTCCTAAATCAGTATGAGTGTTCAAGTAATTTCTTTTAATTTTAGGGGAATAGGCGATAAAAAAAAACGGCGGGATGTATAAAATTATTTTAAGCAAAAGAATTTTTCTGCATGTTTACATCAAGATACTCATTTCACAATTGAGTTAAGGCTAAATATTGGTTTTTCTATGCAAATGAGTTAATAAAAATGCATAAATTGTGTATTTTATGTACAGAGAAAGTTCAAATTGATTTTCTAATACAAACTTAGTTCTCAGAGTAAATTAATGCAAGTGCACATTGTGACGTCATATTATGACGTAATAGTTCTTCCCCAGTCAAGGTAATAAAACACATCAACAAAAAAATTTTAAAATGAATAATGTATAATGTTAAAGAGAATATTCTTAAAATTAATAAAATAGCCGCACAAATCCTATCCTCTTCTTCAATTAATAAAAAATTTACTTAACTTACACTTGACTGTACATTTTTACCCTGTTTCAGCTTAGAACTGTACGAATAGTACATGTGACTAAACAATTGCAGCATTATCTTAAATCTTAAATCGAAGCGATTTTGTTGATGCTTCTTATAAACTTATAGTATGACATCATAATGTGTACTGGCACTCGCATATCGTGGGTACCAAGAATGTAATAGAAAGCAAGTCTAAACATTTTCTTTGCAGTATGTATAGCAATTATGGGTCTAAATTAATTATTTTCCATAGAAACTTCCATACGTATCATTAACTCACTTGCGTTGACTTATAATGATCATAAACAAGTGAGGTCTCTCTGGGGATTTGATGTGTACTTTTCAACAGGAAAATCAAATGCTAGGGGTACTGCCATATTATCTATTAATATCATTTATTAATAATTTTGATTATAATATTCTCAAGCAATACAATGATGATGATGGGAATCTCCGTATACTTGAAATAAATGTTTTAAATAAGTATGATTTTATGTTAATTACTTTATATGGTCCAAATAAGGACAGTCCATCTTTTTATGATAATTTATTATGGCAGGGGACTTTAATCTGATACTAATAAAATTTAGACTGCTTTAACTATATAACTGTGAATAACCAAGAGGCTAGAAAAGTGGTAATGAATTTTTCTCCGGAAATATAATATATTGATAGATCAGAGAGATACAGTGCCACCCATTGAAAAAACTGTATACGGTATTTATTGCGCACAAAAAGTGCGCTCGATTCTTGAT